TTTATCGCTGCTCCTACCAACAGGAAGGAACTCCGTAGATTCATCGGACTAGTGAACTACTATGAGAGACATGTGGATTAGAAGATCACATGTACTGCCCCCACTCGCTTCGTTGACTTCCAAACAACGAAGTGGAAATGGGAAGAGAACACGACAAGGCCTTTAGCCGAGATTAAGAAGATCATCAGCAAAGAAACACTTGCTCCCTACCCTGACTTAACGATACATTCGTTATCCACACGGATGCGAGTGATACTCAACTAAGTGCGGTAATTTCCCAGAAGGGAAAACCTATCGCGTTCTAAACCAGAAAGCTCAACCCTGTCAGAAACGTTACACAGTAACCGAGAATGAACTTCTCAGTACCGTAAAAACTCTGAAAGAATTCCGTAACCATTCTTCTAGGACAAAGAACGTTGTACATACGGACCACACCAAGAATCTTACATGTAAAAACTCAATACCGATCGCGTAAGATGGCGCCTTATTCTGAAGAATACGGCCCTGAACTACGGTACATCAGGGCGAACAAACATCGTGCCGTTGCGAGACTTAACATCTCAACACGACGGTTTTCAGAACAGATGACGCCAGCGAGATCGCTGACTCATGGCTGCAGACGAAGAGGACTTCCCTAGTGAGTTCCTCTCTCGTCCTCCCCGAGATCGACATCGGCCAAAAGACGAATACGATATCAAGAAGCTCCTCAGGGCAAGCCAAACGAATACAAGAAGCAATCTTTCGGCCCTACGACTTAGTAGTCAGAGTTAAGGACGAGAAAATCGTCTGACCTAAAACTATGCAGAAGAGCTAGTTGAATGGTACATGGGTGCTGATGCATCCTGGCGAGACTCGCACGAGAACTAACCATCAGCCAAACTACACCTGGAAAGGGCAAGATTGTGCAGCCGTATGTCAGCTTGCCAGACTGCCAGATGACAAACCCAAGACGCGTAAGCTGGGATTGATGCCTCAAAGATTGCGAGGAGACCCTTGGGAAAGACTATTATATGACCTGATAGGCCCTTACACGTCGGGGATCCCAAGAAAAAGAATTCCTGCACACTTCATGTCTTGACAATGATTGATCCGTAACCGGATGGTTCGAGATTGCGGAGATCTGCTCCAAGGCAGCAGACGAATAGCCATCGTCCTAGAACAAACGTGGCTACTCGGTATCCATGGCCTGCTGAGGTTATCATGGATAGAGGACGTGAGTTCCGGGCAGAGGTCGAAAAGACACTCGGGTTGAATATGGACTTCGTCGCAAGTTCATCACCACGCGTAACCCTCAAGCCAATCTATGGTCGAGCGTGCTCATCAAACCATACGTAACTTGATCGCTGTTCAAACATCAAGTGCCAAGAGACCTCGTGAATGGATCCTGGGTTGGAGTCCTCACGGCGGTTCGCTTTGCAATGAATGCCACGATTCATACCACCTTGCGTGCAACGCCCGCAAAGCTCGTGTTAAATCGTGACGCGATTCACAACAGTCCGGTTCGAAGCCAACTGGAAGTACATTAAGGAACGTCGCCAACGAGATCCAACAAAACACGATAGGGAAAACGCAACGCGTGTCCCTCATAATACAATGTCAACGATACGGTGATGATTCAACAGTATCAGCACCGCAAGTAGGTCAGCCGAAGTACAAAGGTCCTTACACAAAAGACCGAGTCAATGAACAAAGCACTGTACGGCTCCAACATACGCCAACGGCGCACAGTCTACCAGCTTTGAACATAAGGTATATACACCATACAAGGCCGACCCCTTGTAGGATTGCCATCGTGCGACGCACATGTCTACATCCAAATCTATGAGAGTGCCCCGCACTTTAAATCATATGTTCTCCTTGTTCCTACTGCTGTCGCGCCTTCTGTGACCCTTTCAGGGGGCGAATGCATACACGGCTCTTAGCCTTATTCGCGACTCGATCCAGATAGGGTTTGAGTTCGACTCATGACTGAGTCTTCTCGTGATAGTCATTTTGAGACAGGGTTCTCATGACCGCGCTAGTCATATAGGTTGATGAGAAACATGCTCTAGATATTTAGGCCAGCGTGGAGTACTCCACGCTACTAGATCCAGGCTAGCAAAACCTTCCACGCGTTCCGTTTAGGATCGTGGAGAGACGTAGGATACTACCACAACTATACTCTATCACACTTAATTCTCCCGCGGGAACCAGATCACGATCCTTTGATGATGATCTCTCTCGTTGATTAGTTTTCATAGCTTTCTAATCTCTCTCATAACTTTCATTTCCTCAAAACACTCGAAAGATCTTTACACTAGCTTTTAGCGTAGTGCAGTGCCTACCGGGTACGTTTGAAGTTGTGATCAATCCTCCTTCCTCATGGGAAGCAAGATAGCTCGCTACCGGTTCGTCAAAAATTTGCTTTCCTTGAGCGCTACGCGACTTCTACACGAAAAAGCGCCATTGTCGTTTAAGCTTCCTCAGCGACGAGCACTACCGTAGTCTAGTTCCAAGATTGTGTTTGCCACGGACCTCTTGTTGTCGCCCAGAGTTTCCTTTCGTTGGCCTGCTGCTGTTGTTGTGAACTTGTGGCCCACGGTGCCTTCTGTCTCGCCCGACGCACGAAGCACCCTTTTTCCACCCCTAAGAGCATTCAATACCAGGGTACCCCAAAACCCATACATACAGTCTTGTCAAGACTCAAATGAGTGCCACGTGGGACCCATGAGTGCCACGTGGGACCCACATTCCATCTCGCTGACATCATTTGGTTTGGGTTTGGTTTGGGTAAAAAGCAACCAATACCCTAAAACCCAAAACTCATTTTGCCCATTACCGTATAGAACTGTACTACCTTGTCTGCCATTCTATCACCTTGTCTTGCGCCATGGAAGATGACACTGACTTGTTGGCAGCCACAGGCATGATGTTTGCGGCTGCTGGTGCTGCCGTGGTTGGCATTATGGACTCCTCCTCTGAAAAAAGCTGATGACGAGGAGAAACAGGACGGAGCTCTTGTGGCGGCAATTGCAGAATGTCTTCCGCCAATCCGCCGTGCCATCAAACGGTCTTCCAATGAGGAAGAAGAGACTCGAAAGAGGAAGAAGTTTGATTACCAGCGTGCTTACAACTGCATCATGCAGGATTATCTTGGTGCCGAGCCATTGTTTGGCCATTATTACGAGAGAGTATTTCGCGTAACCCGTGGCATCACCGAACAAATCATTCAGATTGCTGGTAACTCCGATGATTTCTTTGTGCATTCCATAAACAAAGTTACCGGTGAACCAGGCATCTATCCTGAAGTCAAAGTTTTGATGGCATTGAAGGTTCTTGCGTACGGTGTGGCTCCGAGCGCTTTCATGGATTATTTTCAGATGAGTGACAACACTGGACGTGACTGCCTGAAACATTTGTCTAGAGTTATCGTGGAATCTGATCTTGGTGCCAGATACCTTCGGAAAATGTCACGCTACGATGCCAAATTACTTTCCCTCCAGCACTCCGAGGAATTTGGAGTGGCTGGGTGTATTGGCGCCCTGGATTGCATGCACGTTGAGTGGAAGAATTGTCCCACAGCTTGGCATGGTCAATACAAGGGAAAGGAAGGCTTTCCGAGTATTGTTTTTGAGGCAGTTTCTGATAGCTCTTTGTACATCTGGCATAGCCAATTTGGATGGCCGGGAACACTGAATGATATTAATATTTGGGACCGCAGTGATTGCCTGCATGCGTTCCTTGACGGCTCCTTTGCCAGAGACGTCGACTTTCCTTATATGATTGGAAACGAGGAATTCCACCGTTTGTGGATTATGGTGGACGGAATCTACCCTGAATTATCCCGGTTTGTGAAGACCTTGTCAGTCCCTTTGACCAAACAAGAGAAGAATTATGCCAAGTGGCAGGAGTCTTCTAGAAAGATGGTTGAAAGAACTTTCGGAGTTCTCCAGACGAGGAAATTTCAATGGCTTTGTCGTCCTGTTGAGCTGTGGTACAAATCAGACATTCGTATGGTGATTATGGCATCAATTGTTCTCCACAACATGATGGTTGAAGTGAGAATAGAACGAGACCAAGTAGAATCAGGTGATTGGTACGATGAGCCGACAATAGATCATGAGATTGGTCCTGACCACCCCTTAGCTGGAGATGGAGAAGTTATCAACATTACAGCAATATCACTAGAGGAACGCATTGCGCAAATCAATGCAACATGGCCTCACAATGGAGCAGCCAATGAAGAAAGAATCAACTTAATTCGGGAAGCCATCGACCAGCACTTTACACTTCTACAGGATCAGTTTGACGACCTGTACAATCCAGTGGCGCATGCGCATCTTAGGTCGGCTATTATGGATGAAATTAATTAACTAATTAACTAAATTACTACTAGACGGTGCTGTCTACTCCTCGTCACTACCGTAACCGTCTTCCTCATTACCTTCCTCGTTGCTTTTGCCTTCCTCTTTGATGCGCTGTTGCTTTTCTCGGAAGAGACGCATATCGGTAGGACTGTGGTCCTTCAAAGCCACATGAGGTGGGACGATCTTTTCGATCTGCACCTCCTCGTCCTGGAAAGCTTCCAATGCCAGCTTCTGATTTTCGAGACGCTTCTTCAGAACACGCTGCTCCATAAGGTCCTTTGCGAACTTCCTCTTGGAGGGAGGCGAGAGATACTCTAACAAACTCTGATCGTTGCGATCGGCCATGCATGTCGTCAACACATCGAGACCATGACCCATTTTCTTCATGAAATCCTCTTTGTTGCATCGGTGGTCTTCCCGTTCAGACTTCGTATTGTCATTATTGCCACTCAAATCAAGGACCTTCTTGACAAGTTGAACGTCCTTCTTCAACTGCTTACCTTTCTTGGTTCCACCAGGACGTTCGTCCTTCTTGGTTTTACCACCGCCATTGGCTTTGTCCTTTAGACTAGCCTCAAAATCAGCCCATTTTGGGCTTTCCGAAAGGAAATCCTTGCAGTAAAGGATGGCATCGTAGAAGTTTGTTCCATCTTTGTGCCATTTGAGGAACGTGTTCTTGATACCCTCGTTGTACTTCGACTTGTCGTTGTCTCCGGATGGAGGGTCTCCAGCGTGCTTTTCCACCGCCTTGTATTTCAAAACGTACTTCGAAAGCCTACGGAATTGATTGTAGTTCGACGTGGCCTTCCTGGCAATGTAGGATGTACCAAACTCTTCGTTGTTCGATTGGATGAGATCCTTATATTTGCCGAACATCTTCTCCTGAAATAAACCCGAAGTCATGTCGGTTCCTTCAGTGTTGTCTTCACTTGCGGCAACGAACGACTGACACAACAACAACGACTCCTTTGGCGTCCAACGAGGACCTCTCTTGCTTCCGCCAACGGTAGCAATGGTGCCGGTGCCGGTGCCAGTAAGAGGCGGCATGGGAGGGCTTCGATCCGACATTGATGACAGTGAGAACGGTGGCTTGAGGACAGTGAAAACGATGGCTTGTACAATACGGCAATAAATTGAACCAAACAATTCACCACCCAAACTGTTGATTTGAGCTGTGAGTTAATAATGAAAGCATCCAAAAAATGTGCAAGAGTGCGAGATTTCCAACGTCGTTTTCGAGAAGTGAATTGCAGCGTACTACTATCAATTTTGCGCGCTGTGCAATTCTTGCGACGATATCTTCCAAAACCCAAAGATCGCACCTCTTCTCATTGGATTTTCATCGGATCTGTCGGATTATTTATGGGTTTTGCCGTTTGGGTTGGCTTTGGGTCCAGCGCAAATTCACCAGATTTGCGCAGCGTGCAAGCGTTGGGCAAATCACATCTGCAAAAAATGACGTCATTTGCGATGAGATTCATGTTTAGGTCACGGCTATTGGGTTGTGATTTGCGCAACCCAAAATGCGCGAGTTTTGGGGTACCCCGGTGTTGCATGCTCTAAACTCCCGTGATCATCATCCTCTTGCCTCGCCTATGCATATGAGAGTTGGTCCTAACCAGGTATTTGCACCTCTTTCTTCCTCCGTACGTACGTGAAATCAAGATAACGGCAAAAAGCGGCTTGCTTTCCCTCCATTTCCACGAAAGCTGCGGTACGGCGAACCATTGATTTCCCATTCTCAATTCGCCGTACCGTAGCTTTCATGGAAATGGTTTTCGCGTAGGACCAATCAAAACGTTAGAGCCAGCCGAACTAGTCACGGTCACAATGAGTGTTGTTCCAAGAAGTTCTTTATGTTGTTCCAAGAAGTTCTTTATTGCGTGTGGTACTCACACGGTATTCACAGAAAAGGATGTTTCTTTCCCGTACCACGTATGTGTGTCACATGGATAGGAATGAAATCTTGATTCGTACGCCTAAATAAATCCACGAAAATAAATGTGTTTCGCGAATGCACGGAGGACACACATGGAGAATGGATAGGACCTCGCCTCAGGGCTGGTCCTATCCAGCTTAACTGCCGTTCGTACGTTCGCCAAATCAAAATAAATGGATTTAACTGCCGAATTTGGAAAGGTGACCTCCAAATTCACACCTACGGCGAACCGCAGAAAATGTTTATTTTTATAGTAAAAAAGTGGAGCTGCGGTTCGCCGTTCGTGTGAATTTGGAATTGGCTGGAATTCGCGTAGGACCAACATCATATCATCCGCACATCCCCAACTCTAGCGAGTTTCGAAAATCAGAACTCATTATCTCCACTATCCCCAACTCTAGCTAGCGAGTTTCGAAAATTGGTAGCCTTCTCTGGCTCGCCCTGGACCAATCAGAACTCATTATCTCGCACTATCCCCACTCTAGCGAGTTTCGAAAATCAGAACTCATTATCTCCACTATCCCCAACTCTAGCTAGCGAGTTTCGAAAATTGGTAGCCTTCTGTGGCTCGCCCTGCGACTCTCTTTTTGTTCGCGAACGACGTATCTGCGAATGTGGTTAAGAATGAAAACACATACGCGAGGCGGAATGGAAATAAATGTGTTTCCTGTGCGAACGTACGAACCACATGAATGCGGTTAGGACCAACTCTCATGAGGAGGCTCCGTACATATGTACTCCGAACTTTAGAAGCTACTTCAGATAATCATTGTGCGTTGCCGTTATTAATTAATACCGAACTGAAAGAAACGGATGACAGTGTTTCAAGTTCCAAAGGTTCACACAGCGGTCTCCAAACGGGATTCACAGTATTAGTTTCACGGAAATAGAGCTACGACGCTGACCTATTTAATTATAATAGCTTCTCCAATCATTTATATCATTCACAACAAGCCAGCTTGTACGATAGGCATGTAGGCACAAAGCATAAAGCATCCTGAGCTTGGTTTGTCCATTCTCACGGTGGGCATACGAACGTTGCACGCAGTAGTGGTTACGGAAAACACTTAAAGTAGTCTAAGTGTTGGTTCCCAAACCCGAAAGGCGAATGCAGAAGCTGCGGGTACATGTATGTATCCAACATGCCACTAGTACCTCCCCATTGGTCGACGTGTCGCACTCATTGATGTTGATATCGTCTATGGATGATCATAAAAGAGCGTCACTTCTTCTGCCTACTTGCAGCTCTAGCTAGCTAGTTGAGTTTTTTAGAAGCTCGTAACTTGGTGCCACCAGCAAGCTTGGCCATGACGGATGTTACCGAATGTTATCTACCCCAAATTGCAGCTCTTTCAAGCATGTTGGCTAGTGGGTTAATCATTGCTGAGGTGCTGCAGGATGGCCAACAGAGAGGTGCTGTATCTCGAGTCTTGCTGTCTATGAGCGCTGGGGATATCCTCTTTTCATTGTAAGTCAAGAGATGGTACCTTGGCCAAAATGCCAGTCAGGCCCTGTTGTCTCGGCTAGCTCCTCACATACCATTTCCCATGCAGAGGCTGGTTCTTGGCTTCTTGGGCACAGCATTTGAGCTGGAGCTGTGTCTTTCAGGGCTTCATAATTCAACTGGGATACATGGCATCATTGCTCTCTAATGCCTCTCTGGCAATGGTCTATCTTCTCATGATCCAATACAATTGGCCTCAAGGCAGGATTCAAACCAAAATTCCAAGAATGATGCTCTACTTGTGGAGTTTCTGCCTGGTCACAGCCCTGGTTCCCTTGGCCTTGGATATGTACCGATTCACCAGCCCAGTTTGTTGGATTGGGTCCCCAAAATCACAGGACACCACATTTATCATTGCCTCCCTTCAGGTGATACCCATTTGGTCATGCATCTTTCTGGATTCTGTGACAATGCTGCTCATTTTTCGAAAGGCAAGACTGCTTGAAGCCCAAGTGGATAATGTTGATCAATACCAAGAAAGTCTCGATTCACACACAAGAACAACAGAAGATGATTCAGTACAAATCGATTTACTATCTCTCCCTGATGTGAATGCGAGCCTTTTAAGAGGAAGTGAGGGGTTGGGGGACAGGGAGAGCCATCATGGAGTGTTTAGCTTTGTAGAATTCATGCTATTTGAACCAGTTCCTATGGTATTCCCCTACCAAGATGAAGCTGGTGGATATGGGATGAATATTGATGGAAGCATGTTGATCTCCAGTGCCGTATCCAACACTTCAAGAGCCCATGATCCCCGAGAAGATCAGGTTGATCCTGTTGAAGACTATATGATTCCACAAGAAGAGCAAGTGACAGGACAGCCAGAGGAACAGAACCCAGAAACAGCCATCACTAGAGAACCGCTACAAGATGGAAGTGTGGCATCCAACGAACGTGCCAACAACAACGGTTACATTGAACCATTGACTAATATTGGCAGCAACTCCACTTCTGAGCGCTCTGCTGATTCTACCCCCAATATGCCTCGGTCACACAAGCGATCCCAACTTATTGCCCAACAAGGCATGTGGTACATTGCTGGATTTTTTATGACATATGGATTTGCCACAATTTCCGTCCTTGTGTTCGCTATTGCGAGCAAGTGGAATCCCCCACTGGATCGTACCAGCTATTTCTTTTTGGCCGGTCAGGCTGTGTTTAACTTTTTGGTCTTCAGTCGTGGGCGCCAACAAATGAAGACAAGGATGGGGGCTAAACTGAAGAGTTGGATATGGAATGGTGCAGCACATTGCCGTACTGTTTTCTGCCTCTTGAAGCAACGTCGTTGTCTCCCATTATCGGACGAACTGCACCAATCTGCCATGGATACCACCTCAACAGTAACAGTTCTGCAACACAACAATGGGATCAAGCATGGCCCGGGAAACATCAACGAACAACAATGTCAATGCAATGCGGAGCAACAACGAACAACAACAACAACCACACAAGTTTTCACAAATGGCCCCCATTGAGGAATTGCTGGAACGGCTGCAGTCATGTAGCAATGATTCCATTTGCTTTTGTATTCACAGTTCCAAGACAGGACGAATCATTAGTAAGTCTGTATCAGAACTGAGTCATCGGCAATGTCCAGGAATGGCGACGAGGATGAATCCAGAGACAATGGTGGTACCGCTACCCGCTTGGGCAGTCCGCGTTCCAAGCCTCTAAGTGCCTCCCTGCAAACCGGCGTGCATGGCAAGTGGACCCCAGCTGGTTCTCTTTGCCAGCGAAATCTCTGAATTGGAAGAAGCTCCCAAAGAGGAGTCGCCCCCTACCGAACGAAACCAACCAGGCTCGTTATAGTGAAGTCCGGGGAAGTATCTGTGGATGAGGCGTAGAGCACGGTAGCAGAGTAGCACTTTTGAAACAGTGTAAACTGCTCAATTTCCAATAGAGACTAGCTAGCTAGCGTTTGCTCATCGCGTATGTATCCTCATCGTCTGTTTGTGGTCGCATTTGGGCTCCTCGCAGCATCCATCGTCCTGCACTATCCACTTTGAAAGGGTCTAATGTCTAATAAGGAAACGACAAAAGAACTGATTAAAGCAAAATTTTAGCCAAAAAGTCGAGCCCGTCCAAGCTGTTGGTGACAGGCAGATGGAGGACTCCATTCATGGACTCGAAACGACTCGAGCGCTACGACTGAACCACAAGGGAATCTTCAAGGTCGCCGAGCATTGCCACGAACAGGAGGTCTGTTTTTAAAAAAGCATGTTGGGCTTCGGTCAACAAGGTAGCAGCCGGTAGAAACATGGGATCTGCTGTGTTGTGTCAGGGTCTCATAGTACCAGTACGTAGTCTCCTTACTTCCTCTTGATCTCCGTGCTCGACATCCATCCTCTGCTATGCGCTGAGACTTGTGGATGGGTTGTTCGTCCTGGGTTCCTGGCTTCATCACGGATCCATTTTTCGAGTCACAGATGTGACTGGCTCAAGCGCATCTTTCGCACTTGCGTCTTTTGAGCGGAACCTCGGATGACTTCAAGAAGAACGACGACAGCCGCTTTATCGCTGGATTGCATGCTCTACAATTAATGATCTGCCATCGGCTATTCATTCTGGTAGCTGTCATAGCTCCTTGACTGGACCCATACGAGGGTCTCATTGTGGGAAGTAAAGAAATCAAGTAGCTATATTGAGATGATGTACCGAAGCAAAGCCAAGGGGCATGGGAGCGATGTGGACAATAACAAGGCCAAGACGAGTCCTCCACCCAAGCTGAATAATGGAGGAAGCAAGGGCAAGAGACGAGGGCACATGATGGACTCTCCGCCCATGACGGGGATGGAGTACTTTATCTACGTGTGTACCATTCTGTTTGTCTGTGTCTTTGGAGTCATGCAAGGAGTCTTTCTCTACAAGCTTCACGTCTACGAAGCGTCCTTTGATGCCGAACAACAAACCAAGCCACCCGAAGATGGCGCCACTAATCCAGCAGTAGCACAGCAACAGCAACAGCAACAATCACAACAAGTCGCCATTTCCAGCAGTGGAAATGTCTTGGAATTTGTACCAATTTCCAATCGACAACGAATGCTGCAATTTGCCAATGCTACACACAAACAATACGAGTCGACGCCGGCAGGAAGTTGGCCACCACTGGATGCACTGGTGGACACCAAGGAGAACAAGGTGATTGGGAATCCTCAGTTTTTGCTTGATGTGGCCATTCTCGGATTTGAAAAGGCCGGCACGTATACCATGAAACTCATTTTGAATGGACACAAGGAAACCGATGGAAAACTCGCCGAGAATATCGACCTCTATAACAATCAACCCCATCAGTTTGTCATTGGTCTCTACGATCATCATCCCAATCAAGACTTTGTCCGATTCTATGTCAACAATTGGGATATCTATCAACCCTGTAGTCTCAGAAATATACACACCTACTTTTCAGAAACCAAATTCATCATTACCATCAGACATCCAGTCAGATTTGTAAGTACCCACTCAACACAACTCAACACATAGGCTTGCTTTTCTATTGATCAATCTCACCCACTCGCTTTCTGCTTCTTGGTTTGTTTATTATTATTACCATTTGATTGTGGATGCTTTCCATGCATACAGTTCGAATCTGTCTACAATGCCCGCATTCAAAATGTCCCGGATCCCAACAAACCAATACCCACGCCACACGAACGCATTGGATTTTGCCGCGTCCATGACAATTCCTGTTGTACCGATCATGCACATCTCGCACTGTGGCTCTACAAACTTGGGAAAACTGTCAATATGCCACAAGGATCCGAAATTGAAGAAATCATCAAAAACACCCATGCTTACGAAGCCAACGTGACGACATTGCCAACCAAAAACAAGGTATTCCTCGTCGAAACATCGCAACTTGTCGATCAAGATTGGTTCCGACAAGAACAATTGCTGCAAGATCTACAAGCCTTTCTTGGATTACAACATCCCTTTACCAATGGCATTCCACCACCCCATCCGGCCGCCCGCAAATCCGATCAAGACATTCGTGACAAGCGCAAAATTGATATCTGCCATTCCGAATATGACAATTTACGAGAAGAACTCATGCAGGGAGCCCGAGAGAGTTCGATATGGTTGCGCGAACGATTTCTTAAATCCAAAGATGTCTTTACCACGTCACCGGAATTCTTGGAAAAGGCATTACTCAGTTGGATGGACGATCCCTGTGACAAAAAAATCCGAAAGGATGATTTGTTTGATACCCGCACCATTGAACAGGAAATTCCCTTTGTGCCGTCCACTACGAAAAAGGCCGCGGTCCAGGTCTTTTCACCGGGATCACTCAAGAAATACGATACCAGTGAAACCTGGCCGCCACTCGCTGCAGTCGTCAATGGCGACCGAGAACTCATTGCCGATCCACAGTTTTTATTGGATTTTGCCATTATTGGAATTGAAAAATGTGGGACGTCGACGCTCATGAAATGGCTTGGAGGACATTCGGAAGTACAGTGTTTTCAACAGGAAGAACCAAGTCTGTTTATGAATCAACCGGGGGTGTTGGCGAAACGATTGTACAAGGTCTTTCCCGGTGAACAGTTCAAACGGGGATACAAGAATCCCATTGATCTCTTTCAGCCATGTGTTTTGCGGAACTTTCAAGAAGTCTTTCCGGAAACCAAGTTGATTTTGACGATTCGTCATCCGGTTCGTTATGTAAGTTTGTGTGTCTGTGTGTCGGCCAAGATAGGTAATGAAGTTGTGTATGGTGCTTGTGTTGTTGTGTCTGACGATGGTTTGACATTCTTTCCCACATTCGATGACGCTTTGGCTCGATCATTTCGATGCAATGATCGTCCTCCGCTTTTTCGTTTCCTGCTTCCAGTTCGAGTCGTTACACAACTTTCGCATCCAGAATCTACCGGATCCAAATGATGAGTTTACACCTCCTCTGGAACGAATCGGTATCTGCAACCAATACTCGCAGGGTCTCTGTACCGACCATGCGCACTTTGCACTTTGGATCTATCGGTTGGGTAAAACTATTGACATGCCCAAGACAGATATTCAACGCAAAATCATTGACACTCATCCATGGGAAGCCAATCACTACACTTACCCATCCACCAACAAAGTATTCCTAGTCGAAATGTCACAGTTGCAAGACAATGACCCCGAACGCACCGAAGCGCTGAAACAAGACTTGGCCACCTTTTTGGAACTCAAGCATACGTTTGATCAGGAGGCACCGCACTTTGTCCCTGGAATGAAGTGGTCCGCCGAGTCCCAGGCGATTCGAGACAGTCGTAAGATTGACATCTGCGAAGATCAGTATCGTCCCTTGCGAGCCGAGCTCATGAAGGGTGCTAGAGAAACGTCTCTTTGGATCACAACCTTTTTTTTGGCATCGAAGGACGTCTTCATTTCATCACCCGAGTTCTTTGATCAGGCAATGAAGGCGTGGATGAATGACCCCTGCGAGGACGAGTCGCAGAAGGATCCTCGGTCCATGTCAAATTGGCCTCGTCTCAACGCACTGGTCAATGACGATCTGAAGATCATTGGTGACCCGCAGTTCTTGCTAGACTTTGCCATTATCGGAGTTGAGAAATGTGGTACGTAAAAGATGAACTGCTGAGATGTTCAAATTGTCGTTGCTTCGTGCCGAGATGACTCGATCTTACAGTACAGAGCTTTTGCCGCCCATTAGGAACGTCAACTCTGATGGTGTGGCTTGGAGCGCATCCCGAAGTGCAATGCCCACAGGAAGAGAACTACAGCTTGATGCACGAAACTCCGGGTCAGTTAGTCCAGGACATGTATGCGCAGGCACCATACGAGGACTATAAGCGTGGCTACAAGAACCCGTTGGATCTGTTCTACCCAGGCTCCGCCATGAAGTACATTGATCAGTACTTCCCCAAAACGAAACTCATTGTTACTCTTCGTCATCCTATTCGCTACGTAAGTGGTTGGTTGTACTGATGCCCCACTCTGTAGTCAAGGTTGGATAGGGCTCACACTCCTTTTTCTGGCTTCTGCTACTATACACTTTAGTTTGAGTCCCTCTACAACTTTAGGATTCAAAATCACAATCAGGGTAACTGGAACCGATCGCACATTGCCACGCCGATCGAGAGGATTGGTCCTTGCGTTGGTCAAGCCGGTGATGGGTGTACAGAGCATGCTCACTTTGGACTGTGGCTCTACAGACTCGGGAAAACGCTCTCGCTCCCAGAGACAGAGACCGAAAAGAAGCTTTATGAGAAACATCCAGATGGAACGAGAAAGGAAAAGCCCAAGGCAATGCAGAACGAAGTTTTCTTGTGTGAAATGACGCAATTCGCTGACAAAGACCCTGTTCGATCCGAGCGTCTCAAGAACGATCTTCGGGATTACCTTGGCCTCACCAAGAATTTCAACTCGTCTGCTCCTCACAAAGTACCTGGCAAGAAGTGGACTCCGGAGATCCAAGCAGTCAGAGATAGCTTCAAAATCGACATTTGCGACGAAAAATGGATCAAACTGCGTGAGGCTCTGATGCAGGGGGCTCGTGAAACGTCATTGTGGATTCGTGAGAGCTTTATGAAGTCGCCGGATGTGCATTTTTCCTCTCCCGACTTTTTAAACAAAGCCTTTGAGAATTGGATGGATGACCCATGTGATAACGAAGAAGAAAACTTGAAATACCGAGAAAATCTTGCCAAGGAAAGAGGAGAGGGCGTGCGGGAGGAGGTTGCTCATTTCAAGTGGGGTTGAGCGTGGAATGATGAATCTATGCGCCCCCTACGGTACCCATATGGTGCGATGTGCCTGGAATTCAGCCTACAAAAAAGTCTCCGCCGACACCACTGGACGACCATGACAAGAGGATAGACATGTAGAGTGATTGTTATAATAGAATAGAGGTGCCCTGCACCACCCACTGTTAGTGTAGGAGTTGACGGAGCGACAGCAGTATTAAATTAGCTCTGAAACGCACCAAAAATTGGCTGAAAATGAGTTCTTCTTTCTCGTGTCGCCGGGGACTTGTTGCCGACGATCCTGTTGCCGTTGCCATGGTCGTCTCATCTTTAATCCCCTCTCTGAATGAAAGGATTCGATTCGTCAACGTGAAGAGATTGCGCTCGGTGTGTTTGATAGTGCTCCTGCCGTATGTTGCTTGAGTTTGAGCTTTCAAGCTTCTTCACCCATGCTAGCTAGTTCTTCCTGGATAAGAAAGCGTGTCGGTGTGCACTGCGTAGAAAACCGTCAGTTGGCTCTTCATCTCAGCCAGTGTACCAATTATATGGACATCTCCAAAGCCTCCTTTCGGTCAGTCTTGGAAATAATGGCTGCTTCCTTGACGCCTGCTTCGACATGATGTTTTGATACAACGTAGCGAGAGAACGTTTGTTCCTTCTTCAACTGATCCGGAGACCAAGCCAGACCTCTCAAGCGACAGTTGTAGCTAGTGCTAGCTAGTGTAGAATATTGTGTTCTTCCAGTTCCACAAAGGATTGAATAAATTCGTAGAAGATGCTGAGTTGTGGTTGAGTTGATAGTACCGTCGTGGACTTCCGCTGTGGTACCGGCAGGTTCAAAGACCGAAGAGTAGATAATCCATACCGTTACTGGTAGTAGCCATTCCTTATCAGTGGAAGTCTTCGCGTCGTTGTGGTCGCTCATCGATTGATCCGTCCTGCCGCTGTCGAGGCGTCGCTCGTTGCATTAATAAAATGAAAGAAAGAAGCGTCATGGTCGCTCCGCGGAAAAGCAGGTCAATCCGTCGCCGCCGCTAGCTAGAACAAGAGCCGCCGACAGAACAAGAGGGGAGGGGCTGGTGGATTGCTACTAGTAGAGATTGCTGTCATGATGTGAAGAAGTTGTGAGCATGGGCAAGTAACTTTATATATTCCAAAAAAAAAAAACTTTACTGACTTTATAATAGCAAATCACGTGATCGCAAATTGCTTCCACGTGGAAGCTGCAGAGGTGCCACCAATACGCGCGGGGGCCGAATAGAAGAGAATCGATTGAATGAATGCTTCAATCGAATCGAATGGCCAGTGAGTCGAACGAGTCGAATGATAATCGAAACCTCAATCATGTTTTGCTTGCACGGGAGTTCCATCGAAGCCTCTACGGCTGTACGGGTACGAGTACTAGCTAGCTAGTGAGCGCCCCACACAAGAAATCGAATCCAATACATGTAGAAGCCATTTATTTGCTCAGCCATCTGCCCACATTCCCGAGATCCCCGCTTTAGGTACATGTTGTAATGGCTTACCTCTTGTACTGGTAGCACTCGCAGCTACGCAGCTACATGTAGCTACCGGTACTAGGTAGTCTAGCTATAAACAAACGGAACGATTCGATTCGATTCGATTCATCTTCGCAACTTCGCAACCGTGCTTGGCCACCCAGTGGATGCCTTTGGACTTGCGAAGAAGAGCCGTACCGCAAGAACTACCGGTAGAATGGAGGCGACCAAGAAGCAACCCGTGCAGAATTTGTGGCTTACCAACTACGTGTACATGTAGCTAGCTATTAATAGTGTGTTCTTTATGCAGCTTCGTGCTATTTCTTGATGGATATGGCCGGCAGCGCTGGCACCGCCAAATGCATCTTGTGATGCTCTCTTGGACGTCTGCTCCGCGCTACATACAGATCATGTAGCTACGGTAGCTAGAAGGAAGTTGGCAAAGGTCGCAATACGGGTACTGGTGTAGTGGTACTAGTAGGTCGAGCGGAGAGCGAGGACCCTATCCGCTTACCAGCCTGGAAGACAGTTTTAGAAGGGTAGATAAGGTAAGTTTAGGCTTAATGATAATTTGTACTTATCATTTTTACATGTATATACAAAATTATATTTATCGCAACTACCTGATTTCCAAAGTTGTCTCCACAGAACCACTGGTACGGTACCGTACTGGGCGCTGGCCCCATGGCTACATACATGTACCACTATTAATACTACATTTAGTACTCCGTAGTGCTCCTCCTTTCCCGCGAAACAGGTCACCCGGTAACAATCAAATAATTCAGCAAAAGTGAGAGTTAATCCAAAAGACTGACGGTACGATACTTACTCAGTAGAGTATGGTATTTGAGTGCTTGTCTGTACCAGCAAATGACTCAAACAGCTCTCACAGGGATCAATAAACATGATACCAGTACTCGAGCACTCTATCTAGTACAGCAAAAATGAAAGACATATGCCAGTGACTTAGTGGAATTAGAAACCATGACCGAATTACATATGCCCATGACTTAGTGGAATTAGAAACCATGACCGCTTTGGATTTGTGCTTTTTGTAAAATCGGTTCTGCAGTGTTCCACAGGCATGAGCCCTCAAGAAGTCTCGCGAAGCGCTACAAAAAGAGCTAGTAAAATTACTAGAGTTGGCACAAAGAGTTCACAGAAAGGCATATCTCCTTTAATTCACACAGTTGAGGAAAACGGGCATCCCTTAATGGGGCAATGCAAAAGCTTGATCACCTGAATCCTTCAGTTTTCCTGTGCACGTGGTGCACCATCCAATCCCACACAAGAACCACTTCTGTTCTCTATGTCTGCTTTAGAGTAGATTAAGTCATCTATCAGGCACCATCCTCTATCGATGCGATAGTAAAAGATTGAGCGTTAAATCTAATGACTGTTGATGCCTAACTAGCATCCTTCTCCGGTCTTGGGTTACGTGGGGCTTAACTATGTAACCGGCATAAGCTATGGACATTAATTCCCTGATTAATTGAGCATAAGCGGACATCGGCTTTACCATTACCTTACTAGTTCATAGTGATTGAGTGAACTGTCTCTTGATCACGTGGAGTTGCAGGACCGCGGGTTGGAGTCTACAGGAACTTGACAGTAAAGTTTATGTTGCGTAAGTTCGCGGTTACAAAAATGACGATTAGAAGTGATATTCCGATCCGTTAGTCTTGGGCAATGCTTGGCCAAAAGGTTGAGTGCACAATCCAAATCCAAAGCTCACAATTTTGGCTTTTGCAAACCAACAAAACAACCAAACAAAAAACTTTCAAGATGCTTCGATTTGTTTTCTTCTCCCTATTTCTGGCCTCAGTCGCCAACATGGCCTCTGCCGACTGCCCTCCATACGGCGTCCAGCTCGGCACCAACTACCCGGACAACTACATCCGCAAGTGCTCTGAAGAGGATTTTGCCGTCATGGCCAGGCTGCTTCACGCCATTATCGAAGCCGATGTCATCATCTCAGGTGTTGATGACTTTGCTCCCTACATGGAACCAACGGAGGAGTACTATGCCCCAGGGACTATCATTGACCACACCGGACAAATGGCGCAGCTCCCTGACCCCGAGACCGTCTTGGCTCACGTGACACCTGAAGACGAGATGGAGAACCTCTACTACGAAGGAACCACTCAAGTGGTGGACATCAGCGAAGCTCCCTCCACCTCTCCTTCTATTTCTCCAACTGATTCTCCAACCACCTCTCCTTCTATCTCTCCATCCAAGGCTCCAACATCCTCTCCATCGACCTCGCCTTCTGGATCTCCCACAACCGACGGTCGTCGGTTGCAGGAAGTCGAAGTGGTGGAAGAGGGAATGTGGTTTCCATTTGGCACATTCAAAGACGGAGGACAGCCATCGGACTTTTCCCCCGAGACTGCACAAAGGCGCCTTCCGTCAATCGACTGCCCAACCAAGGATGAAGGATGCAACTACAGTGGCTGCTGCATTTTTTGCCCCGAGGTCTGCAAAAGACGTCGTCTTGAAGGTGAAACTGTGGAGGATGCAAAGCTTCGAGGAAACCGCAAACTTTTCAACGCGGCCAAGCACGCCTTTACAGGGACTGAAACTCAAAAGTCGTATGAACGCAAGGTTCGGGCTATGGAAAGGCGTGTCTCCAAGGCATTGACCAAAAAATTCCGATTCCTGGCCATGACAGAACGCATCCCCTGTCTGGGAAACTTTTGGGAAATCCAGATCGATTTCGTCACTGAACTGGATCTGTACTACGCCGAATTCTTTGACGAGGACACCGCCGCAAGACAATAAGGCCAGCCAATGGCTACATCAAGGGGGGACAACTAGGACGGGGTGACGGGCGGGTTCACCCTTGTCCAATAGTGGTACTACACAATACTACCCATCAGCATCTAACTTCCAACAAGAATCCTTGCAATGTTTCATATACTACTATATTAGAACAATTTTATTATCAATACAGCAAACTCTTATCCGTAGCAAAACCCATGGGTGGCCTCCTGCTGGCTAGCTTCATGTATCCAGCTAGAGCTCACAAACAAGCCAACCCCATCTTCTTGGAGCTCATTCCTGTGCAGGTTGAGGCGACCCAATCTTCGGCGAGCCCATTCATGGCGACCTAGCTAGAGTCGAGTCGGTGCGCTGCCCCACCACCAGGCCACCCAAGATGCCAAGACCAACACCAATGACACCGTCTCGGATCCCATCCCAAAAGGATCCAGTTTGTGACTCTTGTTTGGCATAATGACTCTTTGTGTTCCGTATCTTTGGATGCTAAGTCTTTAGAACACCTTTTAAAGTCCTCTCGTGATCGATCCTTAGAGATCCTCCGTCCGTCGACCCTTGCACAACCTTCTAATCCTCCCTAACCCTAAGACTTCGAATCTTTTGAATCCTAACTAGCTAGCTAGGACTACACTTCGTAGCAGAGCTGCTTGCTAGCTTGTAGTACTGTACCCAAGTGTAAAAATCATTCGTGTTAGTTCTCTTTCTAAGAATGCTGGAGGGACGCTAAAATCGATACAAGTAGCTAGGTCTACATGTATGTGCTGCTCTAAAAAAATATGCCCAACATTCCTGGCTGTTCCTTGCTTACATGGCCACAAACGTATCCAAATGGGCAAGCCACTATTGCCACCGACTGGCATATCCAAACTACAGAGAGGGTGTCTCTATTGGTTAAACTGCTTGCTAGCTAGTAGCTAGCTGCTCTAGCTAGTAGGGGTACTATATCTGCGAAAGTGAGGTTCTTAAGAACGGGATTTTTGGTTTGGTGGCTCTGTTGGCAGGCAATCTCTAAGCGGAACCAAATTTACCCCATCCTCAGGAGGGTCCCCTCAAGCATCCGAGTGAGTGCTCAGCTTGCTGGCTGGTGATCATGGATTTCCAGATGACAAACCATCCCAAGAACCTGCAATCACTGGCTAGCTAGGTGTATCGGGCAAAAGTGAACGTAGGTTAACATTCTCCTATACCTTGGGAGCAACAACAGGAATTATGATTATTGCATAAGTTTGTTGTGATTGTCAAATTGTCCCACAGGCTCTTCTTCTCACAGAAACTATCTGGTATCTGCAGTGCCCCCACGTGAAGCACCTTCAAAGATGGTAACTCTAACAGTTCTTCTGGTAGTGTTCCACTGAGTTCATTGTCTTGAAGGAGAAGAGTTTCCAATCGTGTCAAGAGCCCCAGCTCAGTTGGCACAGTAGATTGCAACTTGTTTGAACTCAAGTCCAACAGAGTCAGAGATGTCATTTGTCCCAAGCTGGTCGGCAAAATCACAGAAAGTTTGCAGTTGGAGATTCTGAGTGCCTGTAAAGCAGTTTCTTGAAATGGCATCATTGACCCCACCGGTAGAAAATGGTCCATGCTGTTCTCATTCTCCAGGTTGACATGAAGAAAACTGATGTACTCGAGCCTAGAGAGATGAAACACTTCTGGAGGTATGCCTACTTTGCCTTCACCGTGATCATATCCCTCAACTGACATTCTTCGATAATGGCCCTCCGTGTCACACTCTCCTTGAAAAAAAACTGACTGGTGTCGGCTGCATTCATCCACATGATATGTGACCCAAGCCCCTTGGAGTGCATTTGCTTTTGTTTTGAATCGTGAGAATAAGTGCCTCATGCATGCATAGTATAGACAAGACATGCCAAATCGTTGTATCTTCCGCCAGTCTTGATAAGAGTCCCAGAATGGATCCTTTGAAATCCAATTGTATGCCAAATGCTGTGATGTTGTTGGGTCCTGCATGGCAGCAATGGTGCGATTGGTAATATTCGGGACAAGGTAAGAATCTGTTCCAGATTGGTCTGTTTCCGATGTAGGGTTGCCATCACCAGTCAGTATAGCTGTTGGAATAGCTATTGCCAGACTTATCACAATCACAATCACAATCATTGAAACTCCAAGTGCCATGTTGTTTCTTGGGGTGCTGGTGTGGTCCTCGGCATGATCCCCTTCACCCCCCTCCACTTGTGACGTCCTGTTGCTACCACTATCCTCCCCACTGGCGTCATCCACATTATTATCACCACTATTATTCATAACAAATGGCCGAACATCCATTGCCCCTGGTAACCCTGGATATGCTCCAGGGATTTGTGAATTGGCCGATATTGTAGTAGGAGGTTTGGTGGGACGTCCCCTGTTGTCGTAGACCACGTCGGGTGTATCCAGTTGTCGCCTGGTTGGACGTTCCGTTTGTAAGGGTTGCTTTGCCGTGCTACTACCGGTGTCTTTTGGGATGACATAGTCCGTTGTGGGGTGACCGTGGCTACGAATGGTGGCCAGTTGCATCAAGAAGTGATCATCGGCAGCAGTATTATACAATCCATCTTCTTCTTCTTGTACGTCTTGCTGTGACTGCTGGGACGAATCTAAATTTCCCTTATTCTTGAGATCTTCCAGTGCCTGGCGGCCAAGGGGAACGTTACTGGGGTTCTGATTCCGATCCTCAATAATCTGTTGGAGATCCGCCAATTGGATGCCCTCGTTGTCGCCGTCGTCATCATGGTCGTCACGTCGGCTGTAGTCTCGGTGCCTGGGTTGGCTTACAGCCGATGGAACTCGTTCTCGTCTGCTGCTATTGCTGTTGTGTCGCTCATCAGATGCCATGGTGGGGATATGGTAGTAAGGCTTGGTTGGGGTGTCCTTTAAAACAAATAAAAGATGCTTTGATGTTGGGGCTGATGCTGATGCAGAGTACTAGCTACTAGCTAGTACCGGTAGTACACGTACCGTCTGGTACCAGCAGGGCATGGTCGCGCCAGTCGAATGACTCGATTGGATAAATGTTCGAATTGAGTTGTACTGTACGAATGGGTGGAAGGTCAGACCTGCCTTTCGCTGCAGTGGCACGAACCCTGTCTCTATCATGTTCTTAGTTTCAAGCAAATAATGAGCGTCTCATTCGAGTGAGTCGAGTCTCAGTCACACAACCTCACCGTTCTTTATCAAAATGATGAGTCACAACCTTCTTCACGACTTAATTATGATGCGGAGGTAACAACGTAACAACGTCACATCCACGTCTCCTGTTCAAGATTTCTACGCACCTCTTTGCTCCATTTAACGGCTAGACTAACCGTGTCATTCGTTTGATGACTTAGTAATCCGAACAACACGTCATCCTCTTTGCTTCCACCTCAGCCTGGCCACTACATGTAGCCAGATAGTCAGCCTCGCCGATTCGATTCGATTCGATTCCACGGGAAATTCTTACGAAACGATTGTAAAAATAAGGGGGTGTAGTTTACGAAACGATTGTGGTAGTCTATCGGTAGTCTAGCTTGTAAAGGGTGTTTTTTTTCACAAAATCGAAAACTGGGATCTCATCTATTCAGGAAATCGAACAATGATGAGGGTATCTTTTGGTGCTACGGTTTGGAGTCTCCTGGCTCTGGCTCCGGGGATTGCTGCTGCTGTGGGACTCCCCGACAGCCATCCATCGGTTGGGGTGTTGTCCAAGTTCAACTTTAAGTGTCCCTACGCCGAAGAATGGGTCACCAAAGGACCACTCCAGGCCGCCTTGGATCTTGGTCTGGTGCAAAATGTCACTACCATCACCACCTCAAAATCTGGTGGAAGGCAACAGCTTCGTCGTCGCACTCAGCAGGATACGATTGTGGCTGGATCCTGTGTCTACACCAACGCTTGGTCCGGGCAAGTGGCTTGCTTGGAAATGAGAGGAGACGCTTGGACGGGTGCCACCATGGAGTCACGTTGTGCTTCGGAGACAGATTCTACATTGACGGCCGGGGCTCCCTGTGCTGTTCCAGGCGGAATGACGGGTTGGTGTTTGGTGGGTGAAGATGGGTCCATTGAGGCGACTCCCATGGCAGGTGACAACAACTGTGGACAAACACAGAGCGCTTGTGAGACTTTCATGACGGGAACCTTTGAAGCTGCCGGAGACTGTGCCACAGAGTCGCCTGAAGCCGCAGAGGGAGCTGAAGGCGACGAGGGAGCTCATAGCTTTCCCTATGCAGTCCCCGCTGCTGGTGATGGACCAGTCACTTGTGCCATTGCTCCAGGTACGTGCAGAATGTTGTGGGCTGTCGTTCTCAAAACCTACATGGTCGATTCACTTTTTTTCTCTATTCAATCTCCTTTCAAGGTGCCATTGGAGCCGGTCATCAGGCCGCCTACAGTTTGGGTTACAGCCCCAACTGTGAGGGCACTCCGGCGGAAGGATCTCCTTACATGTGGCCCATGGCTTGGTCGGCCCATGTGGAATCCAAGTCCATGGAGTTTGGTTCGGACGATGTTTTGTACCACTCGGTCGGGCGAGTCCATTATCGTCTCGACAAGAACTGGAAACGACAAGATTGGTGGTACCAACGCGGAGTTCAGCGCAACCTTGGAACAGGACCTTGTCTTCCCGAAAATCGAGTCGACGAGTTGAGCGAAGGTTCCGTCAAGGCATGCCGTCGTGATTCCGATGAATACACAACCATGATCCATCGAGGCAGCAAGATGTTTTTCATTTCGTGGAAGAACGACACGGTGGTTGGCTCGAGTGATCCGGCTCAGATTTCCCAATGCGACTGGTTGGACCTCCAAGTGGTCGGCAACATTCGCCCAGACTGGTACATGGATGACAGGGGCGACTCGACGGATGTGCAATATCTTGGAAATCAACATGTATTGCATGAAAATGAGCCACGGTTGGTCAAGCAATGGCGCAAGAAGGACTTTGCTAACCAATACTTTGTCATGTCCATCCTGGCAAACCCCAGGGATGACGAAGTTCACTGGCCAATGATTCTCAATGTCCCAGGAGAAGGATTTGGTGACGACTTTTTGCAGGTGTACACCAATCATTCCATGCTGACGGATGATGACGATGACCGTTTCTTACTCGATGAGTTGCTCGAAGCGATTGGCGGTACTTGTGAAAAGATGGAAATGGGAGGAGGAGCCGGACCACCGACTGGTGAGACTGTACACATCCCCAGCAACCTGGAAGTTGATGAAAACTCTTGGTTCAGCAATGTATACACCTACAGTCCTGTCTGGGAACCACCAGTCAGTGACGAATCGCAGAGCATTGCTTCTGGGGAAACAGGTATTGCTACAACCGAAATGGGAAATCTTGTGGTGGAATCTTGCTACGACCAAGCGGACAGTGCTGTCAAACTTTCTGTCACGTTCAAAGGAATCGAAATGACTGACGACGACCAGTTTCCTTGGATGGCACTCGGATATCGCGAAACCGAGGAGTGTCTCATGAACCCCCGTGACGGTGCTGACACTGAACTGATCATGCTCAAGTCCTCTCCTACATCCGACCTTGTAGATGCTCACTTTGGTCATTTGCCCTCTGGTGCGCGAAGGTTTGATGCTTCCGCAGTGTCTTCCATATCGGAGAGCTTGATGCCACTCACCGAGAAGAAGGGATATTCACAGGTTCAAACGCACATCCCAACCCCACTGGCCATCTCCAAGAGCGAGACCAATGAGATTCCCGAGGCTGATTCTGTTACTCTCAGCTTCAAGCAAAGCATGGAGACTGTCCCTGAAGCAATGCATCTCATGTACGCCATTGGAGCCTCTGCCGAGGTTGGATTCCACAAGACTCGAGAGTGCTTCGAACTCGTAGCGTTCCCCTTCTGCGCCGCCGATGAACCTCTGCCCTCTGTCGAATCCAGCTCATCCAGTGTTGAAGCTGAAGCAACAGAAGGAAACTCCAACGAACCAACGTCTGCTGCTGCACAGTTGGCTGGCGTACTGCCTGCTCTGCTTTTTGTTGTAGGCTCCTTGCTCCTCGTGTAAATACATACATACATACATACATACCTACATGTACATAACTAAGATTTTGGTAAAGAGAGTTGATGGCTTGCTGGTTCCCTTCTTTCGCAGGATTGCTTTCTTTGGACAGCGAGCGAGCTCCACTAGGCGCAACCACACGTATTTGGTTTCTCCTGCCTCTGGCTCTAGCTAGCTAGTACCTGGTACCTATACTACCATAGAACCAACACCATCGAGGCCTCCCTCACGCAACAAAAGCAGCTGGCTGTTGGTGAAACTCGAGGATAGTACACCAGGGATGGCTGGGTTGTTGCCGTGAGTGGATATTCAAACCGCGGGAAGCAGCCAGCTTTCATCCACCAGACTGGATGTCTCCTGTCAAAGTGATGAATTGGTGCAACTTGTATTTTCATTCTGACTCGACTCGGAATGTTGTTTGCAGGCAGGGTCTGAAATTGCTTCTTTGGCTGGGAGCGATGCAGCTGCGAGTGGATATTTCAGGTGCGCTTTGCTTTGAGAGGCTCTCCTCGTCGCTGGAGATGAAAAAGCTAGAAAGGATGTATTACTTCTTGTTTGGATGGCTGGCTGATGCATACCACTGTGGGACATCCACGCAGCCATCCAGCGTTTTCAACACTATTTGTTTTGACTTGACATGGCCATCTTTGGCGAGAGCTATGGAAGGTTCTGGATCAAACACTGACTTCACCTCCACCAGCAAAGCTCTAGCTAGTAGAGTAGCGGTAGTCCGCAATCTGTAGCTAGACTAGTCTACATGTACTTGTGGTTTTACTAGTAGAGCCAGCTTTTTGGAATGCCAATACAACCAGTGGTCATTATTTGTGCCATCTGAAAGGGTATTTGTGTCCGGTTCTTTCCTGTAATTTTCTAAGTGTTTCCTGCTCATCCGCCGTACCAAAGACCCCACCGACAAACCTTTTCCTCCTTTGCCTTGGACGCCTCCAAAGCAGTCAAGTCAAGGCAACAAACACAAGTGGCCAAGCTAATTTCTTTTTCTATCTCCAGTACCGTTGAATTGCACCAATCAATCCGCAGACAATCCCAATCCCATAGAGGCTTACGACTTGACTGTTGATGGACGACATCTATCTAGTCTCTTTTGGTAGGAAAGGAGAGCACAGCAGGCAATACCATACATGCAGTAGAGAGCACCACCACAATTCAAATCCTTCAAGTCTTCCATCATCCAATTTCAGTTTGTTCTGATCAATCGATAGACCAGCTAGTAGAATCCATCCATCCATCCATCCATCTTTAAAATAGGGCCCAATGAATCGATCTCAAAAACGTCTGTTGATTCCCAAAAGCAGCAGTGAAGACGACAGCAGCAGCAGCAGCAGCAGTGGTGTAGATTTGGAAGAGGGTATGACCAGTGGCATGGTCCAGGCGGCAGGAGGAGAAGTCATTGTTGTGGACAACAAGAACGACCAACAGCAGTCACAACAACACCAACAAAAGAGAATGAAACCGCGCAAGAGTGTGACGATTTTCGAAGACACGGATCATCGCAACATGATTGCCGCCTTGGAAGATGGCATTGACGATGACGATGATGACGATGATGATGATGTGGATTCCTTCATGATGGACGATTCGTCCATGCAAGAGCGTTTTCGAGATTCCGACTTGACCATGCGGCAGAGCAATGCCACGGCCATTCTAGGAGGAAGCAAGAAAAAGAAGAAATCCAACAAAAAGAAAAAACAGAGTGGTGGTCCACTAGTAGCACAAGAAGAAACGACAAAAATCAATCGCATGCGACTCTTGCTCTTGTCCGTATTACTCGTGGCCGCCGTGACGGTGGCATCGGTGATTGCCGTCTTTTTACAACAAGAAGAACAAGACAAATTCGAAACCGCCTTTTTGACTCATGCGTCCAAAATCATGGATTCGTTACAAATCAACATTCAAACGCAATTGGCAACGCTGGAGACCTTTGCCATTACACTGACATCCTTTGCCGAAGCGACCAATGCTACGTGGCCGTTTGTGACACTGCCCGATTACGAACGACGCACCCATTCCATTCTCGGTCAAGCCAAGAGTTTGTCACTCATTGTATTGCCGCTCGTCACCAATACGACACGACAAACGTGGGAACAATACTCGGTAGAGCACTTTGGGGAATGGGCACAAGAGAGTCGTGATTTTCAAGTCCAAGGTGGATACGACCATTACAACAATAATCACCACAACAACAATCACAATAATCCATTCCGAGCAAGACATGCCTTTTTGCGCAATCATACTCATACTTCTGATACTGAAAGTACATCATCATCCTCTACTTCTGAAAGTAGCAGTACGACGACACTGACGACCGCCACGGCCACACTCGATTACTCGGCCGGTATTTCCCATGTCATTCATACCCGCAATGCCTTGGGAGTCCGGATTGCAGCTCCATCTACGGATGAGTTTTATTTTCCAATTTGGCAAAATGCACCCTTTGCCAATCAACAAGTCGAAAACAACAATCTATTCACACTCGACAGATATCAAGCCGGCCTTCAAGTGGTATTGCAAGAAGGAAAGGCCAGTATGGGAACGACGGCCAATCAATACGATCCACCGGATCCACGGACCGAACCATTTCTCGTTACCGTGGCATCACTGATTGAATTGTGGGGATTGCAAGAATCAAATACGAAGGACGACAGTAAGGATCCATTTGGATTCTTGTTTTATCCCATTCGAGACAACAATAACAACAACATTGTGGGAGCCATGATCATGTACCTCCATTGGAGAAGTCTCTTTCTCGATATACTCCCGCCACAAGCCGCCGGAATTGATGTCGTCTTTGAAAGTGTCTGTCATACTACTACGAATGATCCACAAGAACAAGAACTCGAACGAGATATTTTCACCTATCGCATCCATGGAGTCCATGCCGAATTTGTAGCCTCGGGAGATTGGCACGATGCACGGTACGATGATCTCGAACAATCCATTTCCGTGGTCGACGCTTTTAATCAAAATCGAATGATCAATGATAGTACGTCGTCACGTTATTACGACGGCGTTCCACTCAGTGACAAGAATTGCGATTACATTTTACGAGTCTATCCCACCGATATGCTCCGAAGTGATTATACCAACAATGCCACGATTTACTATCCGCTCGTCGTCGTGGGTGTATTTTTGTTTGCCGCCATGGTTTTTGGACTCTACGATATTACAGTCGAATTACGACAACGCAAGGTCATGCGGACGGCACTCAAAACCAATGCCATTGTCACGTCGTTATTCCCCGAAGCCATTGCCAATCGTATGATTGAAGAAGAAGACGTCTCGGCCATGATGGCAGAACAACAGAGTGGTGTACCCAGTTCCTTTATCAACACGACACAGAGCATGTTTGCAGTGGACAATGTCAGCAGTCACAGCAGTGTCACCACCAACACGTCCACACCCGGAAATAATCGCCGGGCCACGGTCGTGTCCAATGCCAACAATTTACTCAAAAAGACGCGCGATTCGCTCTTTTCGCACACGCTGCACAATCGACGCAGCCATGGCGACAATACTAATAATGACAATAATAGTGTCGCGGGGAATAGCAGTGTCGGCAGCCGGCGACGGGGGAGTATGAATGCGTTTGTGTCCAATCGACAAATGCTATCGACATTGCTGACCGATGGATCCAATCGATCGTCCAATAAAGCCGACGATGAGTCCATCAAGACGGAAAAATCGCAACCGTGCATGGCGGAATTGTGGCCCGCCACGACCGTCATGGTGGCGGATATCGTGGGATTTACTTCGTAAGTTTGTTGCCGCAAAAGCAAGAGGCAGATGTTTCAAAAAAGATATGGCGTGTCTGTCTTGTTGTTGTCTCACGAACTCTCGTTTCCTTTTTTGCCATGTACACAGTTGGTCCAGTGCACGTGATCCTGGACAAGTGTTCTACTTGCTTCAGACAGTCTATCAATCGTTTGACAAGCAAGCGAAAAAGAAAAAGGTCTTCAAGGGTAAGCTACTTTTGCTGGTTTTTAGTGAAGGTAGTGGCCAAGTGCCTGATATTTCGTCGTTTTCTTACACCGCGGTTTCGTGCAGTTGAAACGAATGCGGATTCTTACGTAGCTGTCACAGGTAAGCAAGTCAATGCACTTCTTTGGTAGCGGCACCATCCACACAATCAATCAACATACAAAAGTCCCGAAATTTACCACCTCAACGTTTTCTTTGCCTTTTGCAGGTCTTCCCCAAAAACAGGATGATCACGCCTATCGCATGGCACGCTTTGCGTAAGTGCACTTTTGCTTGGTTCGTCTTGTCTGTTCATCCTTGTTGGTTGCAGCTCACGCACGCATCCGATATCATTCTCCCCTCTATTCACTTGAAGTGTGGACTGTCTGAAAGAAATGAATGAACTGACGATTGAACTTGAGGCAGAACTAGGTACGCTGAGGATAGCGGCAGCATGCTATTGCCGGAAATTGCACAAGGAGAAAGACTAACCTGGTGCACAAATGGACTTCTTCCAATGCGACCAGGCCCCGACACTGAGGAACTCAAACTCCGCATAGGTACGTTTTTGGACAGCTGGAATGAACATGTCGACGTTGATACAATGCTCACGAACATCCTCATAAATGACTCTCTCCAGGCCTCAACTCGGGCCCCGTCACCGCCGGAGTACTGAAGGGAGATCGCGCACGGTTCCAGGTGGGTTTCATTGGTGCGAAATATTGGATTGTCCGAGAGTCCCTTGCTAATTATTATCACGAACTCGTCTGCCATGAAAGCTTTTTGGAGACACGGTCAACTTTGCACGTTGTCTTGAAGGGTACGTGCGAGAAGTTTCTTGGGAGTTGTAGGGTGCGGCAGATTGCAGCGGACTAACGCCCCTTCCCTCTATTTATCAATCTTTGCAACCCATTATACGCCGTCGATTGTAGCACGAGCAAACCAAACCGTATCCATCTCAGCAAAACAACGGCCCAGCTATTGGAAGCCGCTGGGCATGGTGACTTGGTCGTCCCCCGAGAAGGTCAGGTTCACATCAAAGGTAAAGGCGTGGTGGAGACTTGCTATATTCGAACATCCCATTCCAAAAATCGAAATAAAAGCATCCATATACCGAGTCAGTTGATGGCGGGTGTAAGCAATGAGGTTGACCAAAAGATCGACCGCCTTATCCAGTGGAATGTCAAGATTCTCAAGGCACACCTCCAAAAGGTTGTTGCAAGACGCATTGCTGTGAAGGGTAGTACCTCTGGGCAGGAAAAGGCTCCCATCTTTGATCGTGGTGGGAAAACATGCTTGGAAGAAATCGAGGACATCATTGCAATGCCTCCGTTCGATCCAACAATCCAAGGAAAGGAAATGGATCCTCGGTCAGTCAATCTCGGACCCAAAGCAATATTCCAGCTCAACGTGTTTGTTCAGGGAATTGCAGCGCGATACCATGAGGTGAGTCACGCTCCTTCCCGTCCGTCAAAGAACAGTTTTGTTGCACATCGAGTCCTTCATACCTTTGCCAGCTATCTGCGCCATGTCATTGCTTACCTTTTCATCGGTCTTTTCTTTCACCAAACGAAAACAGAACCCGTTTCACAACTTCTTCCATGCAAGCAACGTTACCATGAGCGTTTCAAAGATGCTGACCAGAGTTGTAAGCCCCGACCTCGAAGACGAAGGAGTTCCGTCGGCTACGAATGTGGCACAAACTGCGCATCATTTTTCACATGGGATCACGAGTGATCCGCTAACTCACTTCGCGGTTGTCTTGAGTGCTCTCATTCATGATGTAAGTCGGCTCCGTACGCATACAGCTAACGCCGATAGCGACGCGGATCTCGCGTTCTCACTTGTTTTCTTCAATCGCAGGTGGACCACCGAGGAATATCAAACGCTCAATTGGCAAAGGAAGATCCTTCTATGGCAGAAAGGTACAAGGACAAGTCAATTGCAGAGCAAAACTCCGGTAAGCTTTGCCGCGGATTACATAGTCACGTTGACTCCAGATGCACGTTCAACTTATCCCCTTGTCTTCCTTCCGTCCCACTACAGTGGATATCGCTTGGGACTTGCTGATGAGCCCCGGAATGAGCGACCTTCGAGCATGTATCTACAGTGATAGCGACGAACTGCACAGATTTCGGCAGGTGAGTCTCTCTCCCAAGAGCTGAAGTCATCTGATCCATCCGTGGTTCCTAATATTCTCCGTACTGCTGCTGTCACAGATGCTCATCAAGACTGTGCTGGCGACGGACATCTTCGATAAGGTACATGCGCGAAACTTTCTGCTATGATTACACCTATTGCTGTCAACGAATTCTCACTCTCCTTCCCGCAACATCCAGGAGCTGAACGACCTTCGCAAGAAACGTTGGGCAATGGCTTTTGACAAGTCGAAAGATGTCGACCCCGCCCTGGCCGAACAGGAGGCCAACGTGAAAGCAACCATTGTTGTGAGTTCCTCGTTGCCGTCATATATGTTTCTGTCTCCAGCTTTGCCTATCCTGATGATTGTTCGTCTCGACAGATTGAGCATCTGATCCAAGCTTCAGATGTGTCGCATACAGTAAGTCTGACAGAAAGATAGAGTAGACCACACTTTGGTGAAGAAACAGTGGGGACTCATTGACTTCTTCGTGTTTGTTACTTGCAGATGCAACACTGGCATATCTACAGGTGAGAAGAGAGTCGTCGAAAGAGTGTCAGTACCCGTCTTTGTGCACTTGTTGGCCTTGTAGCTGACCCTAGTTCTTCGTGTTTTACAATCTTCGTAAAAGAAAATGGAACGCAAGGCTCTTTGCCGAGCTGTACGAAGCTTACCTTGCAGGCCGTATGGGGAAGGACCCCAGTACGTTTTGGTACAATGGCGAAATTGGCTTCTTTGACAATTACATCATCCCCCTCGCAAAGAAATTGAAGGTGCGCTCAGCTATTTGCATTATTTATTTGGTTTTCGTTTTGCCTCGCGACCTCCATGACCTTACCGTTCGTCGGTTCCGGGGCATCCAATCGACGATGACGCAGGAGTGCCAAGTTTTTGGGGTTTCGAGTGCAGAATTCTTGAGCTATGCGATTGCCAATAGAGACGAATGGGTTCGCAAGGGGGAGGAAATCGTAGAAGACATGGTAAAGCAATATCGAGACCCGTCTATGGTGGAAGAAATGGAAGACGAGATTGACGAGAGCTACGTTGACGATGACGAAGAGGATGACTTATTAGAAGAAGTTGAAGAAAACAAAGCTGTCGACAAGGACGCCGCCCCGAAGAAGCCAGCACTCCAAGGAATTCTAAAGTTTGCCAACAAGGAACTCCAGCGACAGGAAGATGATAAAAACATCTTAGATACGACAAAAAATCAGGAAGCCCCACCGCTCACGACAGCTCCCGAGAATGTGGAACAAATGGAGGAAAAGAAAACTGATGCGGTTGGACAGACGGATACAACTGGCAAGGCCGATGATGATGGTGACGACGACGACGACGATGTTGGTCCAAGCGCTCTTGATGACTCCACCGAATCAAGCAACGCATCATCTCCGGCCCTTCAGGGCGTTAACAATCTTCTTTCAAAGTTGCCACAAGGCAAGGAGGAGAATACAACTCACACTACTCGGCAAAAAGGGCCAGACCATAAGGCTCTTCTGACTAAAGATATAGGTGACGATGATAGTATCGACACAAGCAGCCATTCGAGTCGCTCGAGGCATGACGAAGACAACACACCGAGCACGAGGAGGCTATCCAACTGGTTGGCAAGCTGGGAAGACCAAGGACCACTGGGAGCATTGCATGTTGAAGATGAAGAGGCCTCCTTTGAATTGTCACTAGACAAGCACACTGACAACCATGAGGTAGCTCCAGTCACCATTGACGAGGCCAAAGAAGGAAGTAGTGGCACCAACGAAGCAACTCCCGCCCTGAAAGGCTTGAACGTCCTTGCCAACGGGCGACCAACTCACATAGACAATGATGAAAATGATGACCATATCGACAACGTTAGTACTATGTCAGCTGACGACGTTGGTTCGGCAAAGCCAATTGAATATGGAAATATCAACACAAGCAGTCACAGCAGTCGCTCTGGGCATGAAGTAGAACAAGCAGCTCCCATCCCTGCGAGGTTGCCCGAGGGGTCGAATGGCTTGGCAGAGGACGAGGGACCGCTGAGCGTCTCCGATGCGGAAGATGATGTGGACGATTCCAGTGGATCTTCAAACGATGGCGAGGATGACATGTTTGCTGGAAGCCTGGACGACACTGATGATATTGATGACAGCATTGATTCATCAGTTGACTCCGACTTACTAGGAACCAAACCCTCAAAAACCAAACCAGCAAGTCAAGGAGGCGACCGTCCAATTGACGCCGATATGGCAGTGAAGGATGCTGTCGCAAAATACAAACCGCCATTGGAACCTCAGCAGTCGGATTGTACAAGAGAAAGCACCGAAGATGAGGCCTTCGCTGCAGACATATCATGGCGGTCTCTAGATGAGGTTCAAGTTGAATCTGATGGGAAAAAGCCAGAGGAAGCCTTGGGACTGTTGGAAGAAGGGATCTCTGAGCTGCAGTCCGAACTGGACGCTTTGGACGAGGCGCACATGGGTAGGCCGATGTTTCTCCTGCCTTAGGCCAGGCTATTCGACGCAAGAGCACAAATGTGCCGTATGGAGTAGAGTACACAGACGCATAGAGAAAGTAGCTAACTAGAAAAGTACAATACTTAAAGTTGCCCACCACTACTAGATTGATTGTGAAGCCACCAGCCCCTTGCTTTGAATCAGACGGACGACGCAGATTTCCCACCCACTAAACAACAGACGATACGTTACCAACTGGACCCACACAGGTACAAAAATAGTTTCTGTTGCATTTTTTAAAAACTTTGAAGGCAATCGATTCAATGATTCGATCATTGAGAATAGTCCAAATATTAAAGGATTCAGACGAGAGGTCTTTGCAGGCGACCCACTGACCCCGAAGGATCACGGTATTCCCAACCAACAAGTCTGTTCGATCGTTGAAGACATGTTGGTGTTGTCTGCAGGTGGAGGTCGTGCTCACCACCACTGCCAGAAATAGCAGAAATAGTTGGCTGCAAAGTAGAAAAAGTGTATCTTCTTCATTCTGCAGCCATTGGCCTTTCTTTGAAGGAAGCAGAATTTTCCACTCGGTCAAACATGTCCCTTCGAAGACCTTTGCTCTCATCATCAGGCATCAACATTCAGAACTTGCTTTTGCGATGAAAGGTCTCTGTGCGCGTCATCTTTCCTGTTGTTGTTTGTGTCTCTGGTGCGTTGTTGCTGTTTTGGGAGTGAGGATTTACACATTAATTCTTCTTGCGAGTTTCATTAATGCTTTCATTATTTAGCGTGTTGTCGTTTAGCCTTAAATCCTTTTTTAACCTGCAGCCCCTAATGCTTTTTAAGATGGTCATCTGAACTCTACTTTTTGACTTGAGATTTTTGTAACATATCCAGCTCTATCAAAACTACGGTAAACAGAAAGCATGCATGGCCAGGTTTTCCTGTCATGCCCTCTCGTAGGAATGGATTGTTGTATTTTTGAAATGCAGTCACACATCAGGATCTTTGTATCCTGCAGCTTGAACATGGCGGGCCCGCGGTCACGGCAAAGGGTTGGATCCTACTTATTTAGCTTCCCCAGAAACGCCACCAGTTCTTCGTCCCTCGTCAGCACCTCCTGCCAACTGACGGAGCAATGAAGACCCTTGCTAAGAAACGTTTGGAAGGAGGTTAGCAATTCTTCGACTCGATGTTGCTTGTTATCCCAACCATCGACCATAGCAGCATCTTCTTCCTCCGCGGTCATCCTCCAGAAATTCTCCAAAAGTGACGTTTTCAAACATTTTTCTCGTGGCAGTGGGCTCAAGGCGCAGTGATGACCATTGCTCGCAAACGTTCGGAGGGGCATTTCCAGGGCTTTGATTTTCGAGACACGGGCCACATCCTCTTCATTCGCCAGGGTCATGTTCCACAGCTTTTCCAACAGTGGCATTTCCACGCAGTTTTCATGAGGCATGGCGCCAATGGGAATGAATTTCGTCAAGTTTTGTATGTATTTGGCGGCATGCTTCACTGCCACTTCTCGATCCACGTCGTCTTGGATAATGCCTTGTTTCTTGGCAATCTTGACCAAATTTTGGTATTCAAAATACTCCATCGGTTTGCCACGGTTGGCCGAAACCTGGGCTGTTTCGTTGGCTTCCTGTCGCAACTTTTGGCAGGCTTTGCTTTGCGAACCATTCGGCAGTGCCAAGCAAAAGAACTGTTCTAGCAACGGGATGGACTTGTCCTCGTAGTTAATGACATGAATCGTGTCGACATAGGGCATAAAGTTGACCACAGCTTCCGAAAAGGTTCGCTTCTCGTGCTTGATCTGACCACGTAGAAAGTCTGAAAACTGCAAGTCACGGTTGTCCTTGTACAATTCGGTAAAGGCGGACCACAGCCAAGAGTGCAATTGACGGTAGGCGACTACCAAATGAACAGGTCGAAATGGAGCCAACCACTCGTCTATCAATATTTTTGCCTTGTTTTGAAAGAGGCTGGCAAAGCACTCGGTGCTGAGCAGCACGGTACGATTTTGCTCACTGGACTCTTCCAAAAACTTATGAAAGACGGCCATTGTTTCGTTGCGGAAATTTTCGCCCAGAGGTTTGGGAAAGAGAGCATGGCAAACGAGATGTGTGCTCCAGAAATCATCACCATTCGAAAACTTGTAGAAACTGGGCGGTCCACCCATGATGCGAGGTGGAATGGCATAGCCCTCCTCTGTGAGCTCGGACCGGAATCGCTCCAATGAAGTTTGAATGGAAGTTGTCCCCGTCTTATGAGGTCCAATGTGCAACACTAGTCCCGGTCGTTCACCGCCAAAATCATCATCTTCGTCAACTGTTTTAGTAGCAAGGTTGTTGTTGACAAAATGGGTGAGTTCCTTGCCCTTCAATTCTCGATCTGTTGCCAATGCAGCTAGGTCAAACAGAGGATCAAGATTCACCATCTGCACTAGCCGGCACAAGGGAAGTGCCAGTGCAATGAATCGTAATAGACTCAACGATTTCCTTAACGACCGCATTTCCATGGAGTGGTCTGGTATGTTGTTGCGGGCTTCTACTGTCCTTTCTGTTTGCTGTTTATTCCCATGGGATGAATCACTTACTTTCTTCTTTAAAGTTTTTGGTGGAGGAGGAGAGAGCTCAATCGCTGCCATTCTATTACGGTTTTGTTTTGTTGTGTTTTGTTGTGGGGTGAGTGGTAATGGGTGTTGTTAATGGGTCCGAAGCATTGGGTAGCGTGACTGAGTCCGACTTACCTTCTACTCCGAGGAACATTGATGAACGATTGTGCCGCATTGCATTGGTAATAGGGTAGCTGTTCAGCGGCTTGTTCAGTAGTGGTCCTGTTCGATGGAGGTTCCATGCTATTGCTGTGTTGAATCCAGTGACTGCCTTGAATGGTTTGCCTCCGGCTCATCAAGGGAACAAGTCCTAGATTAGAGTAGACCTCCCAAATTAGTTTGCCGTGGCTAAACCAAGATCGGGGGAACTTTGTGTACTGAGAGTGTACGGTAGATTTCTACGGAGCTCCCAAGTGGGACTGATACCAAGGTTTGGGCTAAACACACTGTGGGAGCGCTGGCGGCGTTGATCCGGATCGAGTGAGAGTCGAGTCACAGCCGAGTGGTCACAACACAGCAAAAGAACTTTGCTCGGGAGTGGTTTGGTAAGAGAGAGCTCCTAGCCCTAGTTGCTGGGCAGATCTTGCTCGCTAATCCACCAGGTCGATGAACGACCGGTTGGTTCACCACTGGAGCGTTCAAGCGAAGTTTGTACCGAAGTTTACGGATTTACCTAGCAGAGGAATTACCAATACCACTTGCTACGTACTAGAATAGGATTTCGTGGTTAGATTCTTTTCGAACTGTCACGCCTCTGCTAAAAATCTAGAAGGAAGGTTTGGTCTAAACATGGATTGATGAGAGTCGCTGCTGCTGGCGGCTCTCTACCACGCACCCGAGCCTGCGGGGAAGGCACATGGTCCAGGCCCCAGGGGTTTGCTACCTGTGTTCTACATGTACTACCCGTAGCTCGTTGCCAGCTTCGATGACCTATCTATTGTATCCAAGAGGGTAAGACCAACTCGGCGAATGCTGCTTGCTGGCTTCCGCCTTTGAATGGTATCCCGGACTGTATGTGAGAAAGATTAATGAGAAAAGCTGATGGATGCGAAAGATAGAGGATCAAATCATAATTTTCGATTCTGATTCCTTCTCACTCAGCACAAGATCAATAGCAACCATCGAACAACCATGAGTCTTCTCTTCTCTTTGCCCACCTCTCCTTTGCGCCGCCGCAAGGGCGAAAAATCCTCCAAGTACGGAGGACGTAGCTTTGCGAAGGGCTGCCGCCAGGCGTTGGGCTGCAACCTTGTGCAGACCCTCTATCGCAACTTGATTGGGTTTATTCTCCCTTGGGCCTTCTTTTCCATGATGCCTTGGGTCGGAGAACAACTCTTCAAGAAGTTTATCCTCACGTTGGATGAACCTGACTTTGACCATCCCTCCTTCAACCCTTACCACCTCTTGTACTTTTTGGTGCTCCCCACCAGTACTTTGGGCGGAATTGGACTCTTTCTCTTTATGAATCGAAAATTGCCGACAACCAATAACGATGCGCTGCCCAGCGAACTCGGCTGCCTTGTGGTGTGGCGTATTGTCACCCGTGGAACTAACCAAAAGGCCCTCAGTGAAACGGTCGATGCATGCCGCAGAGAAATGAAACGCACTCCTCTCTTCCCTTACTTGATCGAGATCGTCACTGAGGAAGGCGCCTATCTTGACATGTTGGAAGGCAAAGGCAACAACGACCTCTCCATCATCATTGTGCCCGCGAGTTATCAAACCTCCCAAGGATCTCTCTTCAAAGCTCGCGCTCTCCATTACGCCCTCCAAGCTTCCTCTGTCCCCAACACTGCTTGGCTTGTCCACTTGGATGAAGAAACCCAGCCAACTCCATCTGGAGTCCGAGGAATTGCCAAAATGATTGCTGAAGAAGAGGCCAGGGAAGACGGTAAGTCGACCGAAAACAGCAAACAAGCTTCTCCTGTCCAATTTTTGTTGACATTCCTGATGCATCTAACATCTCTTGGGCTTCGCTTCAACTCGCCTTTCTTTTCTTGTCTTGTTTTTGAATATAGGACGTCCTCGTGTTGGACAGGGTGCCATCCTTTACCACCGTCTCATGCACAAACATCTTTTGCTGACTTTCGCGGACATGCTCCGAACTGGCGACGACATTAGCCGATTCTACCTCCAAGCCTTCCTCGGAAAACCTCTCTTTGGTATGCACGGCTCCTTCATTGTGGTTCGCAACGACGTCGAAAAGGCCATTGGTTTTGACTTTGGACTCATCGGATCAATCACCGAAGATGCCTACTGGTCTTTGAAATTCATGGAGAAGGGATACAAGCTTCGTTGGGTCGACGGTTACTTGTCCGAACAATGCAACCATTCCATCGGAGATTTCTTGAAACAACGCCGCCGTTGGATTGTCGGTCTTTCCTTGATCGGTTTCCGCGCACCTATCCAGCTCCGCCATCGCGCCGCCTTGCTCATGGCAAGCTCCTTCTGGGTCCTTTCTCCCTTGACATACGTCTCCACCATCATTGACATGTACAACAGAGTTCAGTTGTCGGAAGGCATGGTGATGCTCAAAGGCGTTGTGTTTGGATATTTCACCACCGTCTACTTCCTCGGTCTCAGCGTCAACCTCATTGAGCGCAAAGTCCCCTTCCTCCAGCGCATGTTTTGGTACATTGTGCAGTTCTTCTCTCTTCCCATCTCCGTCCTCCTGGAAGCGACTGCCATTGTTTACGCCCTGCTGAGCCCCGATCTTGGATTCCACATTGTGCAGAAGTAAGTCGAGACTTCGGTGTACATGAGTCTACTTACTCGAATGCAACGACATTGGAGTGACGACCAAACGGGAAGCTGATGCCAACGGTGATGATCGAGTGGTGATGAAACGACGAGTTGAATTTTATGTGAACAGTGATGAATGTGATAATTGGATGAACGAATCTGGTGATGAGTTGGACCGAACCAACCACGCAACGGAAGAAGTCAAACAACACAACAAAATAAGTTAGTATCTATTTTTAACAAACAACTTGTGGAAAACAGAACACCCGAAAGCGGGGTCTCTTCAGAGGCTCTGGAGGGCGCTCCAAAAAAAGATCCGTTGGGCACCGGCAACGGTTGCAACCGGTATCCGGCACCAACTGCAACGCCGCAACAACAAACAAACAACAGGCTGACAACCAGCACAACAACAGCGAGATCAAACATCAGAGGATGACAACAATCAAGGAGACTCGAGTGCGGTTGTTGAGGGTCTCATGATCTCTCACTATCTCACACTCCCTCACTATCTCACACTCCAGTCTATTGCAGAGTATGTTTATCAGGGGCCTTAGAAATGCAGCGCGTATCCACATTTGTAGTGGTAGCGCATTTTATTGTTGGAGATGATGCGGCCTTGACCATTGGTCTGCAGCTGCACATAACTCAATACCTTCCCTGTTGGGCACTTCACATCATGCCTCTCCAAGAATCTGACATTGATTCTCCCCCAAAGCCCGTTAGTACTAGCCCACTCTGTATAGTAGTCTTCCACTTCATGGAGGTAGACTTCTCCACACTTGTAGTTGTACCCAATGCGTTGGTTGGCGGAAGAAACCAAATGCAAGTATTGAATTGGGCTTGTTTGGCAGTCAATGGCATGCCGATCCAAGAAGATCACATTGCCTAGAAAGGCAGCATCTAGAGGGGTCTGCTGCATTGCGCCAGGAGTCGCATCGGTGAGATCACTACATGAGTAGTAGTAATTGTAGTGCAACACAAACGGTTGGACCAAACCAAATTGACTGATGCCTTTCCCGTTGCAGTCCAAAATGTGCCTTTCCAGACCAAAGCGAGCCAGGATGTTCTGGGGCTCTGTGGAATGATAGGTTCGAACATCCAAGAAGCAAATATTACTGACACAATATCCATTGAAACCACAGTCTACATCGTTGGAACAGACTGTTTCGGCTAGTGCTACGCAATCACTAATGGTGGATTGATTATGCCAAGTTGGCATATCCTTCAGCTTGAGCACACGGGGATAGTTGTAGACTTCTCTGATGTAATCAATTGAATTGGTTTGTGAACCATTTGGATCTCGCTCCAAACCATATGCCCATGTCATGAAAAAGGTCCACATCGGCTGCCTTTCCATAACATCCAGAGATGGTAGTTGAAATGACTCTCCAATAGCCACCATTCGATCGCCCGCCTCAACCAACATGGCTTCATAATACTTGCAGGAATTGTACGTGATGCCTGGCAGATACACATCCAATGTAGCAATATCAAAGTATTCTTGTCCTGGATTGTAATCACCAAAGTCAATAATTGGCATATCTTGGACGTTCCAAACCCAAATCAAATTGGTCAAGCCAAGGTCGTTTGTCATGTAGTTATGCGTGAGCTGCCACAGCTTCTTGGTACCTAAATCTCCAGTTCGTCCTGCCCACCAGAAAACAGGTTGATTTTGTTCATGAAGAGGTCTCCACATGACTTCTACATTCCTGTCTTGTAGATACCGGAGGAAAACTGCTATTTCATCAATGCGGCTTTTCCAAATAGTGTTGAGGTTTCCTCCATCAGTGATCAAGTCATTCCATTCATCATCTGTTAATGAACTTAAGATGCCACCATCCCAAGGACACTTCAGCCCGGCATCTGCCCCTGTTGTGGGAGGACAAGCATGCCACATGAGATTGATAATGGCGCCCTGGGCCCATTGTCGTTCTGCTTCCAGTGTGATGGCCCAGCGTCGGTCAGGGTTCCCATGAAACAAAAAGTCTGCACCATATAGGCCAGCATATTCACCGGTGACTTCATAGACTCGTCGAGTGTAGTGAGATTCGTTGGTCCCATCTTTCTGGTCATTGTGCTGACCGGAAACAATTTTCTGACCACGGATGCTGTGCAGAAATTCTAGCGTCTGAAAGCCTCTGCTTCTTGCGCATGAAGCGGTGGACGTGAGTTTTGCATCGGAAGTATCGACGCTTGATGGTGAGAGCGTGATACCATCAGTCGATGTTGTTGTGGAGACCAGCGTCAACACCAGCAGGAAAAGAAGCGGCACTGACCAACCCGCGGCATTCATTGCTTTGTTAGCTACCAGGTAATTACTTGTCAGCGGGATGGCTGGTATCTTGAACTTTCTTCCCCGCGCTCTGCTTTGTGTCTCAAACCGGAGCTTCGCTATAATCTAATCGCGCAGTTGTCCTCCCTCGAGACGGCCCGTTCCAGGACCAAAAAATATACACCGAACTTAGGCTTCCAGGACTGACGAACCGACGTACCGGCAGATCGATGTTTGTATCGCTCGCTCATCTCGTAGCTACAAGAGTAGCTATATAGCTCAAGGGAATGGGGGGCGAAGGGTAGTTAGGAGAGAGCAACGACAGAGGTATGGACGATAAATCAAACGGTCTGAGAGCGCACAATGGCACAAAGACCGTTCCACAGAGTCAGGATGCCGCGGGGGTCTTGGCCTCAACCGGGCGATTCCATTCTCCCTATCACATCTATGCGTTTCCTTCAATAGTTAGCTAGTAGCAGGATGCATGCGGTTGAAGCAAACTAGAGCAAGCAAGCTAGCTAGTGACGGGCACATGTAGGGATTGCAGTAATGGGCTGCGGTGTGGGGGTACCGGTAGCTTGCAAATCTTCGTCATCCTTTGTTCGTGTCCTCAACTGAGATCATTAGAACTTCGACTACTTCAGCAGCTCCTCTCTATGCCAATATGGTAGGTGCTCTAGCTAGCTAGCGGTGTGTTTGTCTCGCAGCCAAACCTTCACTTCTGGCCAGCACCACAAGCAAAAGTGACCATGCATGTTGGCCTGGGTGGCGGCACGTCGGCTTCGTAAGCGTGGTCACGGACTCTTTCAAACCGCTCCACTGGGTTCTTTCTGGAAAATGCCACGTGCCATTGTTGCGCGCGTGGGAATGGTCATCTAGTCGAGCGAGTCGAGTCACACATCAATGCCCAGTTACTTTTGTCGTCTTAATTAATTAAGTCCTCGATGCTGGACATGTGGAGCAGGGTCGAGTCACTGCACCTCCGCAAAGTACACTTGTCGACAACGCACAACAACACTCAAGTCCCATCATCTGTGTACAGTACCGGTACCAAAACAATGCCCGAGCGCCACGAGTCATTAGCAAAGATCTACAGGCAGCAAAAGATCCCAACGTAAAAGAATCATAAAAAAGCAGCCAAACTTATAAAACGAAGCAGCCACACAACCACAGCCTCGAGATGTATTTCATTTCCTATATCCTCCTATCTGTCGCCCTCATGGCTCGAACATCGATGGGGCAACCACCCGAGGCATTTATGCATGGGGAAGGGAGCTCAATGGGGGGCGGGCCACCACCCGGGGCTTTTATGAATGCCCATGAGCCACAAGCAGTTGATTTGAGTCTTGTCAAAGAGGAGTTCGATCGCTGCAACTCTGAGATCATTGATGTGCACCTCCATGATGCATTTTGGTTTAACTCGGCCGACCCTCTCTTGGAAGAGATGAAACTTTCTCACGTTTCTCGCGGTCTCATGCTATCTGTCTACGGCCCAATCGCTAATCCCTTCTCTGGAGACCCCAACGAAGTCACAGAAAGCATCGTCAATGGCAGCAACGGCCGCATTTTTGGCTTGGCATCTCTCAACACAACCATTCCTGACTGGGAGAATCATGGAGAGCAGGAACTGGAACGCCTTGCAACCTTTTTGGCCAAGAAACCAGGCTTTGTAGGCGGAAAGGTCGCTGCACCACATACTTGCCTGCCTTTGAATTCCGACATCATGAGAGACGTCGTCAGAACCATCTCGGAAAGCCCCAGCCCTGTGGTGTTTCTCCATATCGGAACAACGCCCTTCTGTGGGCCCATGGGCGAACAAGTTTTCGGGAGACCGGCTTGCTGCGGCCCTGAGTTCGTTGATCCCACTTACTTGGAAGATCTCATTCAGAAGTTTACAGATACTACCTTCATATTGGTCCATGCAGGTGCAGACTTTCTCCCACCCAACAGCGAGCACTTTTACCATGGAGAAAACGTGGACAAGTCTGTAATGCTGGCAGAAACGTATGACAATGTGTACCTGGAAATCTCGGCATTCTTGCGACAAGGCCCCAATGGGACGGACGTTTACACGGAGGGAACTCATATTCTCGACAAGATTGCCGATGCTGGGTTGGCTAGCAAGACGATTTACGGATCTGACGTGAACCACGCCCCCCATGCTATTGGATCTTACTTGGCAACAACATTGGACAAGTTCATTGCAGCTGGCTTTGACGAGGAGGAGCGCTGCATGATGTTTTCTGGAAACGCTATCAAAGCCTTTGGCCTCGAGTTGGGGGAAACTGAAGCGCCGCAACCCCCAATGGATAGTGAAGAGCATGGTGAAGAAGACAACGGAAACCATGTCGAAGAAGCATCCGGCCTTGACGACGTTGCCGACTATCTTTCATCTTCGGGTGCGGGCATGTTTATGACGAATGTGGCTTCAAATATTGCAATGGCATTGGCCCCTTTTGCTTTTGTTCTCTTCTAAATTCAAGACCCCCACGACCAATTTCTACATGCATACTACTCGCCCTGCAGCCTTAAGGGTCGGTTGCGGGCTTTGTTCAAACCTATCTGATCACTAGTAAATGAAAACCTTATCAACAGCCTTTGCTTGTTTGTCTCAACGTATCTATCCACGTCCACGCACAGCCACTTGGCATCACTCAGCGCGGCTGCAGCCTCTGGCCGCTATTGACTACTGAGCCAGAGGTGGTAGTATTGTATCAGCCAGCCATCATGCGGTGCTGCCTTGGACTTGGCTGGCTGGGAAGATACCTAGCTACGGTAGCTACTAGCCTGAAGGATGCAACAGCCCGGAACTCTATTGCAAGCTAGACTCGTTGACAGCTCCAGCAGCTCTGGCAGCTGGGGAATTTTGAGGTCAGCGAGGTTGCTTCTTACTCAGGCGGCGCCAGATTGGCACCATTCCCATATACATTTGGGGAGCCTGATGTGCAGCGCCACCAAGTGGTGGATCCTACGGAACCGCTTCTTGACAGGGCAGAGAGTAGTGATTCAGTGGTTGTTTGTGCTGAAGGCGAGGAAGGACTTCCTCGGATTGGTTGGACGAATGATTGAATCCCTTCCTGTTGCTTGTCCACCGTCCACCTATCGGACAAGCCAGAACAGTCAGATGGCTACCACTAGCTAGCTAGTAGCTGCCCCGAACCCATCACCCATCCACCAAGAGTTGTCCCTTTTGACAACTCACTGGGCATTTCAAGATTGTTGGTGTCGTGATGCTTTGGTTTGGCTGGGTAGGGGCTGTACCGTTTTGCCTGCTGGGGGAATCCACGATTTCATGGTCGCTGGAATCTTCAAAAGTTGAATGATGCTGGCGAACTTGTACTGATGCGTCTATAGTGATGCAATTCAGAACAATTCGTCACTTTCTTGAAAGAGTTAATTGCCATGGGTTGAAGGCAATCGTATCGTCAGCGGCAGCTGTTGGTTCGGGAGCCAAGGAGCCAATCAATCTTCAACCGTGGGAAGCCACCTCATTTCCCCGCAGTGGTAGAGGAGTGGCAGAGAGCCACGTTCAATTCTGTTTTGGAGGATGCTGGAGGTAGTACCGGAGCCCAGTACCACGTTGCGGATAGAGCCAATAGTAAAATAAGAATGGTTTAGGAGGGCAGTTACAGGTGGGACATTGTAGTTCAACGTCACCACATGCTATCGTGTGCATTGGCCTTGTTGCTGGTCTCTTTGTCTTTCCCATCTATCAACGGAAGCAAGCTCCTCTAATGCGAGCGAAAGGGTTCTGCAGTGGCCCGCCAAAAGCCAAATGAGCTCACAATTCAAAGGCTGTAACTTTTGAAAAAGTACACATCCTCATCATTCATCCATTTATTAATCTCGATTAGATTAGGCTACTCTCTGCAACCATGTCTCGTCTTTCTCAGGTAAGAATATCCAGCTCTAGCTAGAGACACATCACAGCATAAGGGGCGGAGCATATACCCATTGTGGAATCCGCTCTCTCAACCTAGCCGTTGTTATCAATTGCTAACCCAACCCTCGCCGTTTCCTCCCTTATTGTTGTTTGTCTACCCACCGATAACAGATTCTCCTTATCGCCATCGCTGTCCTTGTGATTGCCTCTACCAGCGCGTTCACCCCCGATGCTGCTTTCAAGATGAAGACCATGTTGGGAAATGGTCAGACTACAGCATCGGATGCCAATGGCAAGCGAGGCCTGGTGGTACCCCCACAGCCCCTTTCCTCTCGAAACTTGCAACTCTCCTTGATTGGACAAGAGAACATTCGCAAATCCATCACTGTCCCTCCGGCCTATGAAGACTACATGGCCGTCAGACAGCATGCTCTGCTTCGATTGCTACAGCGCAACGATTAAGCAAGGATGCGCGCGCAAGTTTTGACCGAGATGGTGCTTCGGTATACGAGTTGAGAAATGGAAACGAGAAAGACTCTACTCTTACACTGAAGCAACAAAATCATCCACGCACACCACTTATCAATTCACACCCACTCCAACACACTTTCGCACAGCACAATGGCAACCTCCTCAGGACCTGCCACATGCGCTGTCACTACCACCACCACAAACTGCTATTGATCACTCCCACCACACCACACCAATGATGAAGATGATGATTGTGTAAACTATACTATACCATGTTCCGGCACCCTGATCCAACACGAACCCACTAACTAATGCAACCAACACGGGAATGAAGAAGCAATGCTTGAACATCGTGTATCCAACAACAAAAAGTCGCTCGCTCGTATTTCACAACTTCCAGGCAGCAACCCTTGGAATGAATGAGATGGCATCAATCTTCGCATCAGGAAGCAAACCGAACAAACCACGCTATGTATGCTATCTTACTATTATTAGCTAATCGCTCTGCCGGCGAGTAAGAAGTACTTAATAAAAACACCGAGTGTAACACTACTACAATCCATGGTACCATGCATGAAACCGGGGAGAGGAGATGTCATTGAGGATGGGATTGATGTGCTCGCGAACAAATGTCCGTAGGGTGGCAATCTTACTTGTCAATCTACCATCCACAAACAAACGAACAATCTTGGGAGTCCATGGGATCTCCCACGGGCTGGCTATCGATCGTGACACCATTGTTCGCGATGCATCCCAGGGCTGCCCATCAATCTCTTGGAGGAGGTGGGTGGCGAACTTGCTTTGCCGTGACGCGCACGGAAGTTTTTTGATCGCATTCGCACAGGATCATCTCTGCCCGCAACGGGCTGTCGTGACGCCATACTTTTCTTCGGGATGGATCGCCTCCAAGCTTCAAGAGTGGCTTTTTATTAGTTAGTTGCAAGTACCGTAGGGTTAACACCTTATTAGTTGCCGGTGTGAGGATCCTTGTCCGACATGTTTGTCCGGTGGGACTGCAAGAGAGCTTTTTAATGCGTCACCACGGACCGAACCCACGCCGTGGAAGATTGTTATGGTGGAGTACCAAGGCAACAGATGCCCCTACTGTACTGAGAGTAGACTATACGGAGCCATACAGGACCCATACGGTATACATGTACCAAAGATGACCAAGGCACCCACTTAGAAAGGGGCTAGAGGCAGCCACCCAAAGGAGGCAACAGTAAGCTAGCGGTACCATCACCGCGAACGGTACTGTATGCAGTTCCCTTGGTCCTCAAAACATGTACTGCCGTCAAAGCACCAGAATCCTTCAGTATCAGAAAGGTGCTAAAAACTAAACAGCTAGTAATCGCCACGAGGCATTTCGATAATGGCGAGGAACGGAAGTGCAGCATTTCAGTAGGGAAAAATGGTGATTATTATTGTTATTATCAATGGTTAGGTCGCAAAAATCCTTGCAGGAGACATGTACTTTAATCAAAACGGTCTCCTACGATGGCACAAACTGGTGGCGAAAGACTTGCCGTTTCTGTTACAGGGGAAGACTTGGCCAATCCATGGGAGATTTGTTGGCTCCCGCTTTCAGACGTTGGAAGACACTATTGTCGCGATGGCTACGGAAAAATGGTGGTGTGGGGATAACCATTGGCTGTTCTTGTTGTGGCTGTTCTTGTCTCCCGGGAGTTACATCTACGTTCACATACCAACCCCAAGAATTATCTTGTACTTCTGTACTCATCATCCTTAGCGGTGATTCTCTTGGTAGATAACATCCCGCATCTTGTCTTTGCTGTTCCGCCGTTGCGGCCAGGCCTCGTATCGAAGTCGATCTTGACATAACAGTCTTCATTATCGGTTTCAATGTCAATGTAGGGGAGCTCATTTTATGTTATTATGCTTACTGCGAATAGGTATCAGGCACAAGAACTGGACTGTCAGTACTTCAAAGTTATGGGAAGGCTTCAAGGAAAAAATGATCGTCATGATGGCTTGGTAATGCCGCTCCTCTTTTCACTTGCGGTGGGATTCCCGCAGAATTTGAATTTGCGAAGTCTGAATTTTCGGGAAGCACAGCCACCACGCAACCCACGTGGTCTGCAGTTGCGGTTCCCGCTTGCAGTTTCTTGTGCAGTTAAAGCTTCATATACCGGTACCCCGAATTGCTTGGTTCCTGGTACCGGTACATGTACTGGTGCTTACCGGCAGCAACCGGTATCAAGCTTCCCATCCGCCAACTCACCAGTCACCAGCTTGCCTGACAAAGCAGCTGGCCTGGGAGGTGGAGAAAATCTTGGCAAACTCATGCTCACCACTGCTTTCAGTCATGGAAAAACTGCTCAACACTGTTTCGCGGCGAAACAGTGGTGCCTCTCACCACTGCTTACCACTGTTTACCACTACCTTTACCACTGTTTTAGCCCTGTTTACCACTGTTTGCCACTGTTTACCACTGTCAAAAAAGATAGTGGTTGACTTTGCCACAATTTACCGCTGTCAACCACTGTCATGGTCATGGTTTACCTTTGTTGGCATGGAATGGCACTGGATTTCTCCACCCCCTGCACCTTGAGGTAAATTGGCTTGAAAGGTTGAAATAGCTCGGTAAAAATTCAAAACAAATAATTTTGCTGAAAATGATTATGACTTGGAACAGAAAGGATCTCTGGCTTAGGATCACTTGCTTTAACTCCTAGGATCACTGGCTTCCAACTGGCTTCCACAGAAATAGAAGCCAGTGTTCCTAAGAACAGAAGCCAGTGATCCAAGGGGTTAAAGCCAGTCTTCTTTTCTGTTCCAGGATGACTTTACTATACATTTATCAGTACCAGTATTGTTCAAGCTGGAACAAAATAGAAGACTGGCTTTGTTCCCAAATATGGGAAGCCAGTGTTCCATGGAACACTGGCTTTTAACAGGCTTCAGAAGCCAGTGATCCGGGCTTTAAAGCCAGTGTTCCTAAGCCAGTAATCTTCTTGGATCCTACCAAGAGGCAAATTCAAAATCGCTTAGCTTTTTGGAAAATATCCAATTTGAAAGGTTCCAACAGGCTTTACTGCGAGGTGCTGGCCCTTCCCAATCCCACCGGCACTATCCACGAAAATTGTAGTGCTAGTCAGGCTCTGTTGATGGTCTCCTTGGGGCTGAAGCTGAGGCACTCGCCATTTCCGCTTTGCTCACTGCAAAGTGGTAACGCCCTTACTCAGTGGTGTGTGGCTACGTTGCTCAATGCTCGGCTCAGCCAATTATTCTTCGGGCCCGCTTCCTCCGCATGTGTGGCTCCCGTGCCCCTGCTGGCACAATGAGCTATCGCCATTCTCTCTGGGATGCCGATGGTGCACTTGCACTCTTCCAATAATTTTGCCCCCTCTTGCTCCCTCTTGCCTTCCCCTCTCCTTCCTCCTTTTGCTCCTTACATTCCCCTTCCCCCTCGCCCCATTTGCCCTGCTCTACCCGTGCTACTCACTCCCGGTACCGATGCCACCGCTCTGCCTCGCTTAGCCCCCCTCGCTCCTTAATAAAATGTCTCCATATAGTATTTATTATTAGTGTATCATTCAGGTAATAGTCTAGTATGGTCAATCCACCTCTTCAAGCTCAACTTCTCATTGTTTTTCCGCCGGCTGACCCAAAGGAGAGTGTGCGACCTTGTCGGCCACCACAGGATCAGTCACAGGTGCAAGAACGCAGCTCAGCCCAGCTTGGCCAGGCCACTGGACCTGATCTGCATGATCACAAAACAAAGCCAAGTGATCCTGAGCACCACAAGGCAATCTACCATGTACCGTATGGTATACAGTGAAGCACAGCGATCAAATAAGCACAGGGGGATCAGTGCATCTTTCTGAGGACAGGATCACAAAATCATAAATCACATCGTAACTAAAAACAGATTACATACATAAACACCAAAATGAAGCTTGCACTGCCTCTTACACTCTCTCTTTCCACTGCTGTTTCCTTGTCCTTTGGATTCCAGCCATCATTGTCTGGTACCAACCGTGGTCCTCGTACATGGCAAGTTACCAGAATTGGAGAACCAGCTGAATTCGAATCCGAGACCACAAGAATAACCGAGTACCGGTACTTGCCAGAAGGGCTTCGGGAGGAGCTTCTACCATTGGAAGGGGTACCAGTATCTGCGCCTCCAATTGCTGTTCCCAAGAAGAGCACGAGTCAGAGATCCGGGAAGGCTGCATTGCCAAAATGGGCACAACTTTTGAATGAACAGCTCGGTCTTTCTCTCTTCACCCACCTTGACTCTACACGGCTTCATGCAATTGGGGGAGCAGTCTGGTATGCAGGTGGCAGTGCATTGCTCTGGTCCTCCTTGGCCCGTGAGTTCTTCTGGGATGACTGGTCGACATTCTCTGACATGTCATTGTCCAGCCCCAACGGCATTGCTCTGTCAACAGTGCTGTTGGGAACTGTTGTGACCTCTGTGACCACTGCTACCCAGAAGATGGCTCCAGAAAAGAAACACCCATTGTATGCTATAACTATGCAGAACTCAATGCTTTATGGAGCCGTCCTTGCAGTGATTGCTGCAGCACATCTTTTGGGGGATGCCATGCCGTCCATGGCCATGCAAGTTACCGACAGCGCACTGGCACTCGCCGGATTAAAACTTTTGGAAGACCTGATTGTCTACAAAGCTCCATGGGATCCTATGCCTGTGTTTGATGAGCTCAATTTTGAATACCCACCCCATTGGATTCAAAAGGTTGCCCATGTGATTTCCCTGTCCTGGGTCGCTGTTACGGTTGCCAATGCCAGCCACATCTTTAACGGTGACTTGGTAGGCAATGACATGGCCACAACCTTTGCTGTCCAATTGGCTGTAGCTTCATCCTTGGGTCCCTCGGGAGAGGCATTCATTGGAACCATCCAAAAAAAGGAACGTTCCAACAAGCAAAATGGTCCACGAAGGCTTGTTGTAGAGACTGAGAATGGTCAGTTCAAAGTCCCCTACTACGTGGAAGCGTTTGAGCTCACGTTCAATCAACCTGGACCGCAGCTCCTCTGCATTGCTGCTGCCTTGTTCACTCACCATGCAGACGTTGTCGAAAAGTTCTTCTACCTTAGCTAGGCAGTTGGTCGCGAAATCTGACTATTGTAGCAGCCATTCAAAGTAAAAGATAAACAGTTGCGACTTTTAAAGTGATCCCATTTGTGCGTATTTCACCATTCATTTCTTTGCAGCCTTGACACTGTGAGGGAAGCGGGTCAAATCAAAACAGCAGTGGAGAAGACCGGATGGTGGAATCTTCCCAGAATCGCGTAACCAGCCTCTCGCTGGGTGGGCGTCACTCTGCATCAAGCTGGGTGGCGTCACTCTGCATCAAACTTGTTCCCATGATAATTATGGATTCATTGGCAGGTGGATGCGGTTGATTAACGTGTACGCTTTGTGAGATGGCCTGGGCTTTGGATTTGCTAGATCTGAGGAACCGACGTAGCATCGATCGTGATTGGCTGTGGACACTAGCTAGTGACGACCTTCGTTGCCGAACTGCCGAATGCGCACTTGACAAGAGAACACTCTTGAGGCAAATCACTCTCCCGCCATACCGGTCTGGTTACACGTCTTGAATCAGTTTGCGGAGACTCTGAACTGTCCCAACCAGTCCAATGGTGCCTCCTACGAGCAAGATAAAGGCCGCAAGATGGTTGTAGCCATGTAGTTTGAAAGAAAACATGGCCGGAAGTACAAATGCAATGGCGGTACCGGCTACACATCCTGTCAGGTCCAACACATCCGCCAAGGACGGCACCAAGACTGCCAAAATGGCCGAAGATGCCCATAGACACACAGTCAGCAAGACGTGAAGCGGTGGAATCAATTGCTTGGGTTCCAACAGCCACCAAGGTTGTTCTGCTCCTCTGCTGCTGCTGATTGTTGTGGTATGGACAGAATCAGCAATTCCCGGCAACTCAAAAAGGGCATGGGGTAGGTCAGCATAATCATGCAACTCAGCAACAGCTTGGTGATGGACAAGGGCAGAGATGGTGCATAGAGCACAAAGATATTGCTGGAAGATCGATCCCAGAATGTCACGTAGATTGCCAGCCCAATGGCGCTCGAGAAGGTGGCTGCCAGAATCACGGACCAGGTGGAGACGACTTTCCAATGCACCATGTTTTGTAGATTGGGACGCAGCGAATCAAAAACCAAGTTGACCGTGTGCTGTGCCACAAAGGTAAAGACAAGAGTCCCGAGGCCGGCAACAATGCCTGGCTGCACGACGAACCAGTGGTCGACCACATGCCGTGTTGTTGGTCGACACTACTAATGTGATTGGCTGGGTACAAGTAGAAAATGGTACATAACATGGCCAAGAGCGTGGCAAATTTGACAATGGAAACACGTTCCAGAGGTGTCATGTCCCGAAGCAGAGACAAGGGCAACATGACCATGGCACTCAAACAAATCGTGACCCAATTGGCATGGTTTGGCTCCCAGAGTGCCCAACCTGTCATATCCAGCATGGCGGAGGGAAAGTTGTCTTTTACAATCTTGATGTAGGCCACCATACAGCCATAGGCAAAGAGGAACTTGGATATCATGACCAAGATTCGTCCTCCAGTTCCGTACGTGTAGGATCCAAGTTGTTCATAGGAACCCCCCGTTTCAATGGATAGCTCAATGACGAGATCAAACGAAAACTTGGTCAGAATGGCCAAGAAGATGATGGCGAAAATGGCAGCCAATCCACCCGATCGTGCAATCGCACTTCCCAGGCCAATGCATCCTGCTCCAACAATCGAATTGGCAAAGTTCATGGCTGCCGCAAAGATGGAAGACCCTTGTTGCTCGTCATTGCTTGGTGCTCTTCTTCCAGCGTCGTTGTTGTTGCCCTGAAGAAGGGAGGTCTCTTCTGTCGCCATGACGGATGACTCGTTTGGCTCATCTAGGTTGGCGCATTCAGGATTGTACTACATCATTGCCATGCATCGGTGCATCTCGCAGAAATCTTGTGTGGAAAAATTCAACTTCAACGGTTTCTTCGCTCAGCTCCCGGCAGGAAGGATCGTCGAAACCGGTAGAATGATATCATCTTTCGCATGAACGAAGTTTCTGAGCAGAAGCAACGCACATCAACATCAGTACCTGGTACTCTGTATGCTGTGCTTAGACTTCATCATTCTCATATCCCCAACAATTCGACGAACCGCGTCGTCTCCGTGGGTTGCATCCGGTCCAGCCATGGCAGGAACAAAGCACCAAGCAGCAAATGTTGGTGGTAAGCCTGTTAGGCGGGTTGCTTTTGTTCTTCCAGTCTTGGTTTGCTCATGATTACCGACCTTGACTGGACCGGCCCTTACCGAAACCGAAGCTTGACTGCTCTGCATGTTGCTGTCCATTCAAGTTGGAGGAGATCCAGCTTTATTGATGATTGGCGTAGCGGCAGCTTGGTCCGAGAAAGACACCAGACTGTAAAGTCGGAGGCAAACAGTGAAGAAAGTGCTTTGTATGATAGTCATTCACACCCCGGTTGGAAACTTCGCCCGTTGGTGACAGAAGCAACAAAAAGGAGCCCCGTACTGGGTGCGTCGATCTCCAATGGATACAGAGGAAGATGGAATGTCGGGGGATCAGAAAGATGTAGACAAGGAAGCTCAGGCATTTACTTCGGAGACAACGAACATCCAGCGCCGAGTACCCGATGCAACTATCAACAGGGGGGACAGCAATGACATCAAAAAGAGAATTGACACAACGAATGCGGAAGCACCAGATATGGCTGACAGGAAGATGGCGCCAGAAGAAAAGGCCCATGCAGAATACATACTAAGGCTGACCGAAACAACGGCCCAGCTAACAGAAGTATCCAACGGCGACACAAGACCAGCAGCCATAGCGACGC